TCTGCAGTGACTGTGAGATACAACCCATTCCAGTCTCTCTCTCTCTCTCTCTCTCTCTCTCTCTCTCTCTCTCTCTCTCTCTCTCTCTCTCTCTCTCTCTCTCTCTCTCTCTCTCTCTCTCTCTCTCTCTCTCTCTCTCTCTCTCTCTCTCTCTGACACACACACATGAACACACACACACACACATGCATATATGTGCCAGTCCTATAAGAGGATTATAGCAAAAGAGAACACAGAGCAATTACAGTCCCTACCATCATCTCACCCGCTTCTTCACACACGTATGCACACTGACTTTATTCAGGTAATGTGCCACATCTCATTGATGAGAGAGAAAAAGTGAGGACACCGTCAACATGCAGGAGTATGATGTCATAGTACTTGGAACTGGATTTAAGGTAAGAAACCATATTTCCTTATGGAAAAGCAGCCTTCTGTACAAGAGCGTTAACACACATCACATAATGTATTGTTAGATTCACCCAGATGGCCTCTTGGCAGATTTATGGGTCACAGAAAGGTTGCAGCTTTTAAGCTCAGTGAACTAAGCTGCATTTTATTGTGAAGCTTTTAGAAAAGGAATGAATTATAAATCGGACATGCGATGCTTCTACTTTACTCAGCCTAAGAAGTTATTATTAAAACAAGAACATGCATGATTCATTTGTTTTCTACTTAATCCTCATCCGTCTCAGAAAAGTATTGAACAAAACAGGAACAGAACATGAATAAAGCCTTGGATTTTTGCAAAAAGTTCAGAAAACAAAGGATTTCCCAAAGATCAAATTCATCTGGTACATTTTTGAAACAAACATTTAAAAAGTTGAATAGTACTTTGTTTTCTCACTCCAATAGAATCACAATTGCTCTGATGATTGATGGTAAAGTTTTTGTTTTGGTTGAAACTTTCTCTCATTTTCACACATTTAAGAACTCGCATACCCACTGAACTCCTGCTGGCTTCCAAAACGGATTTACAACCGTGACATCACCTACCAGCATGCAAACTAATATCCGTCAGCATTTTACCCACTTCCTAATGCTTGTCCTGTCCCTTTCAGGAATGTGTCCTCTCTGGTTTAATGTCTCTTAATGGGAAAAAGGTCCTTCACATTGACAGGAATTCTTATTACGGAGAGGAAAGTGCATCTATTTCCCCTCTGCAGGAGGTTAGTTCAAGCAAAATCTAACTAGAAGATGTGTCTATTTTCTCACAAAGCAAAATTATGTGGTGTGTTTGTTTTTAAATAACAGCTGTACAGGAAGTTTAAAGTTCCTGGTCCTCCTAAATCAGTAAGTCGTGGCAAAGAGTGGAATGTTGACCTCGTGCCCAAGTTTTTTCTTGCCACTGGTGAGCTGCAGTTTGTTCAGTTTCATTGCTTTTAATTTAAAATGGATCAGTAATTACCTGCTGTACGATTCCCTCAGGCCAGCTGGTGAAAATACTCATGCACACCGAGGTTACGCGCTATCTGGACTTCAAAGTTGTTGAAGGCAGTTATGTTTACAAATCAGGGAAAGTGCACAAAGTCCCTGCTACAGAGGAGGATGCTCACAGCTCAGGTGACAATCTACAGTTTTGCATGTTTAAAGGGGACAAATTATTCAAACTCACCTATTGCATCCTTTTGTGCTGCCATGCGGGTCTCTTCTGCTGCTATAAACACTCTAAGCATGAAAAAAAATTCATCCATTTGTTTTCTGTCAGTGTTTGATTTTAGGAATTGATTCAGTTCAGTTCATTTATTTATTTTGCGCCAATTCACAAGAGTCTCAAGACACCTTACAAAGTAAACATCCCAGTTAAACCTTGCATTGAGTTCAGTTTATTATGCCAATTAGTGAGAAGTTTTCTATGTAAGAAAGCCAAATAGACTGCATCAAGTCACTGATTTGGAATGTTTATAAGTAATCCCCATACTAATCAAGCATGTAGCGACTGTGGAGAGGAAACCTCCCCTTTAACAGGAAGAAAACTCCAGCAGAACCTGGCTCAGTATGAGCATTCATCTGCTGTGACACACACACGCAAACACACGACAACTGAACTAGTAGTAGCACATTCTATGTTAAAGAAAGTAAAAAATTTAAAGTGGTACGTTGACATTTGTAGTAATTATATCTGATTACAATCAGAAAATAGTCTCCTACACCAGTGTTTCCCAACCCTGGTCCTCAAGGACCACTGTCCTGCATGTTTTCCATGTTGCCCCTTCAAACACCAGTGTGTCTCTGCTGCCACACACCTGACTTAAATGAATGAGTGATTAACAGGCAGCTGTAGCACTTGATGTCCTCCTGAGAAGCCAATGTAAATCAGGTGTGCTGAAGCAGAGACATGGAAAACATGTAGGACAGTGGTCCCTGAGGACAAGGGTTGGGAAACACTGTCCTACACCTATGTCCTGCATTAGCTACTGATAGAAAATAGACAGCTAAATGCTAGGATTTAAAAAGTCTAACAGATCTACGCCTGTGGATGGAGTCTGTGGTAGAGTCCTGTTGCCATTAGAAATCTGAGGTGAGATGTCTAAATATCAGGAAATAAGACTCCAAATTCCACTGTGTTCAGCTCAGCTCTGATCTGGCTCACTTCTAGTTCTTGAAACAGGTGCACCGGCCATTTTTACCCCCATAGTACGACTTACAAGGGAGTCAATCCTACTACAGATCACTGCAAATGTATTGAAAATGTGAGTAAAGTAACAATTTAATATTCGAAGAGGGAGAATGTTCAGTGGTAGGCAGTAGAATTATGCCCCTTACAAAAATTCCTCATTTGTGATGTCAAAAGAAAGAGAGAGCTGCTTCTGGAGGAGCAGTGGCTCTACTCTGAGCCTCTCCCAGATATCAGAGCGCCTCAGCTCACTCTGGAAGGTACTGAAACCATCAAGAATAAAATTGCTGAAATTGCTTCATGTGAGAGGGATTTTGTGCAAAGAACTTCCTAACCATGTTTTGTATCAATCATAGAATCATTATAACTTAAGAAAAAAGGTCACATGATGTCCCCTCTAAGGTACTTCTCCAGGCAGATGTTAAATATGTGATGATAACGTATACATATAATCAGATCTGATGGGAATGTTTGACAAGAGGAGGTTCAAGAAGCTGCTGCACTTCACCCAGAACTTTGACAAAAGAAACCCTCGCACCCATCAGGACATGGATCCGGACAAAACTACCACACGGGAGCTGTTCAGCCACTTTGACCTAGGACAGAATGTCATAGAGTTCACAGGTCACGCCATAGCATTACACTCCAGTGAGAGGTCAGTTGAGGTCTGCAGAAAAATCACTGATGACTGGAACAAATGATCACAGATGATCTGATCCTTCTTCTTTCTGGTCCTTTCAGCTACCTGGACCAACCCTGTATGGAAACCATCCGCCGGATCAGGATGTACTCTGAATCTTTGTCCCGCCACAACTACAGTCCGTACCTGTACCCCCTGTATGGGCTCAGGGAGCTGCCACAGGGATTCGCCAGGTGAGGCTCATCATCATCTGTAGTGAAATGTAAATGAACAGAACGAGCCAGACTTGTCTCAGAGTGACTTCTGAAACAGAGTCTGGATTCGCTCCTCCTTCCTTACATAGGAGCATTCAATCCTCTGAAAGCTGAGACATTTTCTCTTACAGATTTTTAAGGTGCCAAACCACCACATGACTGTTTTCTAAGCTGCATTTGTATTTTAAAAAAAAATCATTTTTTATGTGTTTTCCTAAAATTTGGTGACATTTTGTTCATGTTTTGTACTTCACATTTTCCATTACATCACAGAAAAATCTATTGTGTGTTTCAGACTGAGTGCAGAATACGGAGGAACCTTTTTATTGAACAGAGCCGTGGACGAGATTGTGATGGAAAACGGTAGCGTGAAGGCTGTCAGATCTGAGGGGAAGGTGAAGCAGCTGCAGGATTTTACCTGAAAGGTCCAACAGAACCGCTGTGTTCACCATTATTGCCCTTTCATTCTCTTTGTCAGCTTTTCCACTGTAAACAGTTGATCTGTGATCCCAGCTACGTTCCAAACCGTGTCCGGAAAATGGGACGCATCATCAGAGTTATTTGTTTGTTAAATCATCCTGTTAAAAACACCAACGAGGCCAGCTCCTGTCAGATTATCATCCCTCAGACTCAGCTCAACAGGACGTCTGGTGAGAGGAAATGTCACAAATGGATTCAACATCCAAAAGGCCAAACATCCCCATAATCAACCCATGTTTCTCTTTGATTAATGCCCATGCAGACATTTATATATCTGTGGTGTCCTACAGCCACAGTGTGGCCTCAGATGGGATGTACATCGCCACAGTGAGCACCGCTGCAGAGACCAGCACCCCGGAGAAAGAAGTGCAGCCGGCTCTGGAGCTTCTGGAGCCCATCATGCAGAAGTTAGTGACACAATCCAGTCTTTTGAATTAAAATGTCACAGTTTGCACTGATGTACCTCCCTGTTTACTTTGTTCATCTCAGATTTGTGTCCATCAGCAACCTGCTGGTTCCAAACGAGGATGGGAGAAAGAGTCAGGTAAAGGGGGAATTCTCCAGAGACGGGGAAAAAAAGCAGCATCAAGTGTTGCTAATCCCTCTGTTTTCTGTGTGATGATCAGATATTTGTGTCTCGCTCATATGATGCCACAAACCACTTTGAGTTTGAGTGTGATGACATCGAGGACCTGTACCACCGACTCACGGGAGCAGAGCTCTGCTTCGGGAGGTCTCGACAAGTATCGCACAACTCTGATGATGATTAAGGGCCTGCCACATCAGGACCACGTGGTTTACCAGACATGATGATTGCATCATAAACCAGAGGGAGTTCTATAACATGTAGACAAATTCCTTTTGACCTGATTTGTTTATAATTTTTTTATGTCTGATGCTGAGTAACTGGAAATAATTTCTCTATTTATTGTTTGTAAATAAGCAAATTGTGTCCTATTTTCTAGTAGAATCTGAGCACAATCTGATTACCAAAAGGAGAGAAGTGAGGAACTCATGCTTAATGTGTAAACTGTGGTTTAAAAGCAGACCTGACTAAAGCTAAGTGGACAGTTTTCCTGTGATGGGTCTTTGTTCTGCTTAGCAGTTACAGGTGGAAGTCATCAAACTGCAGAATGCATGTGATGGTGTGGATTTGAACGATTTGAACACTTGGACTCTGGACATGTTGCACCGAGACAAATGATTAATGAATTGTGCCGATGTGCAGAGGACTCGTGGATTCTCTTCTCTATGAGGCTTATGCATGAGAAGGACAACGCCACTGAATTATATCGTGCTGCACAGACACGTCAGAGGCAGAGCTGCTGGAGGAGGACGGACAGACGCACAGAAGTAAAGAGGCTTATCAGATGAAGGACAGCCACCATAAAGACCGCCGGCTTCATCTCAGCACAGACCGGAACACAGAGTCAGATTTTATTGTAAGCTTTTATAAGTTCTTTATCAGGCCGTTTTAAAAAAAATTGATATTAAAGTAATCTATTCATTTTCAGTTATACCTGCATATTTTCAGTTCTTGGTCTAGGACTCATTTAGACACAATAAGGCTCCAACACTCAAGAAATGAACAAGTGACTTGTTGACCCAATAAATAGATATGTTTAAAGCAAAAAAACATTTATTAAAACCACCTTAAATTATTACAAGCAGCTCTGGCAGCTTGGAAGATAAAGATAAAAAAAGTAGGTGTTTTTTTTAACCGTGTCCTGTCTGGCTGTGAAGCAAACAGAACTGATGTCTGAATGCTGGTGACAAGTCTTACAGATTTACTCTCAGGTGGAGCATTAAAGCGTCTGCTTTTAATGTCACGCCTGATACTTAAAACTTTATTGTAATTGTTTTTAAAATGCTTTGTAATTCCGACCAGACACGGAGTCAGAGGTGAACTAGAGGTGGTTTTAAGATTAATTTGGGTGATGGTTTGGATGAACATCTATGGTAGAACTGTAATAAATTTATCAAACAAGGAGACTTTACTGAACGATTTAGAATTTTACACACACACACACTCACATACACTTTATTTACAAGTATACAGTTTGACTTCATCACTGTTAACTTTCACCAGAGCAACTACATGCAGATGCTTCTATTCTTAAAATGCAAAACATTTCACGCACAAGCAGATTTCTGAACATGCAGCCAACCATTTGTTGCTTTTGAGAAAATATGAAACTAGACTCCGGTCAGTAAGAGACGGCGGCTGCTGCAACAATGTTCGGTAAAGCTGGACACATTTGGAAGCTCCTCTGCCGGCTGACCTTGGAACAAAGTGAGTCTGTCCTGCTTTCACTCTCACAATACCACATTTAGTCTCATTTAATATCCAGAGCTTTGCTCAGAGACGGGGGAATCAGACCAGCGGCGACCAGTCTTCGCTCACTAATCAAAAAGTTGAATGTTGCACATGCGTTCGGCTGCAAAAAAAAGTTTAAATAATAAAAACATTTGTGGTTTGAGAGTCATGAAGGCTGAACAAATATTTACCGTGTCCTGCACCTCCACAGCGATGCCTTTACGCCTCAGTAAGGCAAGAACTAAGGGGTTGATTCGCTCAAGCCGGGCTCCTGTTCCCAGCACAAGAATCTCTTCATAAACCAGAAAGAAACATTAAAAAGTGTTTAAGTTTAAATGATTAGCTACATATAAACACACAGACAGAATAAAGAGTAGAAAATACTAGGAATGGTCACCTAAAGTATATAATTGACGCAAGTTTCTATGAGAAATAGCAGCCTGCAATACTATCATTAAAACATGAAGGGATTAGATTAATGGCTGAATTCCTTTACTTTTCTCACTAGATCACTAGAAGGACCATTTAAATACTTTCTGGGGTCTTCTATAGGAGTTTGCATGTTTTTGTGGTCTAGCAATAATACATCATGGAAGCTGCAGCATCATTCAAGCTACAACCTGTTTTAATTCCTTTCTCTTAAAGATGAAGCTGCTAAAAAACCCAAGTTTGAGGTGATGAAATTGGACCAGTGAAGATTAAAACGGGCCAAACACAAACATCTTTATATCAGTGTGCATTCATTCATACCAATTGTTGGTGCAATCATGTGGAAAAGAGAGACGCTTTCCTCTGTGATGTCTTCGTGACTACCAACCTGCAGAACCAGACAGTTAAAACAAACTCTTGATCAGTTTTTGTAAACAGAATGATGTGATGCGGCACACTAATAGCTGTGTAGAACATCTGGAGATGAACCTCACGTTCCACTGCAGGATGGCAGGAGGCAGCAGAGCACAGGGCCCGAGCACCTGGTTACTATCTACGGTAAATCCTATGGGGCTGTAGCTGTGGATCATGATCCCACTGTCTGCCTCCTTCTTCATGATGGACACCGTGGTTTTCTGGTACAACTCATCATCACCAGGTTCCAATCTGTGAGCGCGAGACAGAAATGGGCTGGAAAAAGAGACAGAAAACTAGATTAGAAACAATAATAAATGGGCTTTATTCTGTTGTTTATTGTCAGTGACTTGATGCAAAGCTTGTTTCTAGACTGAAAAACAAGTAACGGACAATGAATAAATCCAGTGTGTGTATATTCTTCCATAGTTTTAATATTCTTAGAAAGTCAGAGGAATGCAGATCTGCCAAACCACCTACTGATGGGGTCCTCAGCCAAAAGCTTAATTTACACTGTACACATCACATTACACAATCAATGCTTTTTAATTTCAACATTAGCTAAATTAGCCAATTAGTCTGTTAGAATATGTAAACACATTTTATTTTTCATAACATTCAACAAAACTCCCAGTAATTGTTGCGGTGAGATTCTTCTTTACTCTTAAGTAAATTCCTCTCTCACTCTGCTCCTGATTCTTTTGAGGTGAGCCTGAAAAGAGACCTGCACCTTAAGCATCAACATGTACACACACAAGATCTTGGTTGGCCTGAGATGAGACGCACACGAGCAGTAACCTGGTAATGTGTTATGATTTTTCAGTTTCCCCCTCAGCCTTTTAATTTGAAAGTTACACAAGCACACACACATAGGGAGGTCCTGTCAGTGAATTTAAACATCAAATGTCATTCTCTACTGAAAGAAGGGTGTTCCTTCTGCACCTTTACACACTAACAGTTTATCATCTTTTCTGATCAGCAATAAAAGGTCAATAGTTCAGTTTTCACCAAATAAGGACACTTTCCCTAACTTGTACTGGAACATTTTAGTTATGTTGTGCCCATCCATCTTCTGCTTCTCATTTACATCTGCTTCAGACATACATTTCCTGTTATTTATTATGAACTTCATCACAAGTTCTGCTCAAGTCTGAACTGTAACTAAGGCAACCTACTGGACTCTTGCTGTCTGGAGAGCAGTTTCCACTATTCTGCAACACTTCTGCAAAGTATCACAAGTCACACTTCCTGTAAAGGAAATCTCATTAACATACACATGTGAGCTATAAAATAGTCATAAGACTTTTGAATAATACTTCCAGATTATATATGAAGATTTAATGATTGAGCAACACACTTTAAACTGCGCAATTAGACTGAAAATGATTATACTAACTAAAACTGAAAATTACCCTCGATATAAGTAACCATTTTGAGGCTAACCTTATCTGAGGAAATTGAACCGATGAACATTCATAAAGCATCAATAAAGCGGAAAATTTAAACCTTCAGTGAAATAAAAACACTTTATTAAATACTATAAAATAATGCTATACAACTTTAATAAGGCTAATTATCAAAACAGACATCACCTTTATAACACTTTCAATTCAATATCACGCCAAATTTTAACTCTGTAAATGACCTTATTTTCTTTTTAAACTAATAGGATTTCTATACTTTTGTTGAAAAAATTAAATTACCAAGAGAAAGCAGGAATTGTATTGGAAAAGGACAGAAATCCTCGAGTCGACCTCTGGAAAAGCAACCTGCTGCACACCGCAGTGGCCATGTTAACGAGTGTAACAGGGGAACGGAATTCTCTGTGACACCATTAAGTCAGCTGCTTCCGGTGCTATGCACAGCACAATCGAACATTTTCTTAACTCGCACTCTGTGTGTGTGTGTGTGTGTGTGTGTGTTTAATACATATATAATTCAACTCTTTCTGAAACAAATAATGTAACATTGAAACAAATTTACAAGGATTCAAAATGCTGAAATCCTTTCTGCAAATGTAAGATGGAAGAAAAAACTATCTCTATCCCTGCGTGTGTACAACACCATAACTTTACTTTAATTGTCAAGTAAAATGTTTTTACATTTTACATCATTTAATTGTAACTTCATAAATGTTTCCACTTCAAATGAAAATAAATGTATTACACATTTTTCACAATCAAATTAGATTTTAGCTCTGGGTTTGATTAAACTGTCTGATAGGCGTGTTTAGCGTGTATCAGTGCCCCCTGTGGCCTGTTCTGGTAGCGCTCGCTCAGGTCAGATGATCCGAGCTACATTGTAAATAGACATGAGCCGCTCACCGTAGCCTTCATGGGCTCTTTAAATCACCCATGCGGAGCAGATCTTTTCATTCGGTTTTTGTTTCATAACAGGTTATTTCTGTGTCACTTTTCGGTTTGTTACAGATAAACTAAATCATGTATCGGTCTCTGTACGCCTTCCGATCCGTGGAGCCCAACTCACTGCACTTCGCGGCCGGAGAGAGCTTTCTAATCCTGGAGAGAAGCAACAAACACTGGTGGTTGGGGTCCCGCTGTAGCTCCGGGGAGACCGGCTACATCCCTGCTTCTTACATCGAAAAGATTCAGGTAAAACTCACTTTTAACCCCCGTTTTTGCCTATTTAGTGAATAGAGGAGAGGCGTGGAGTGGAACCCTGAGAGTGGTGCTGTCTGCAGCAGGGCAGGCCAAGAGCAAGCTGTCTAGTCAGGTGGAAATCGCATGCATTAATTTATTATAAAGGCTGCAGGTCGAAAAGCTGCTGAGAGGACACAGGGTGGGACAGCAACAGATAACAGAGACAAGAATGCATTGTTTTCCTCTCCTCATGGTCACACCCCAGGTTATATCGCAGGAACTAGTCAGAGCTTGTAGGCTGTGTCACAAGAAGAGAGCTCCCTCCCCTCCTGTACTTGATAACACCGTCTGTGCAGCTTTAATTAAGCCTGAATGTAGGGTGTTGTTAGATCACAGTCCCATTTTTTCCCAGCTTGTCCCAGTTTGACCCAGTCACACACTTAATAATCCTGCATGCTGCCACAGTAATGAATGTTTCATCCCTTCAGCTTCTGTCGATGTGTTTGTGCCAGGCTCCACAGCAAGACGAGGTCCTGCAGTCCATCGATCGAGCCATAGAAGGGATCCACAATGTGGCCTTAAAGAACGGAGGCAAATACAACCTGGAGCAACGAGATGTCCTGCAGTGAGTCCAAGTCAACATCAGAAACATGGCGGGGATTCTGATGGAGGATTTATGAGTACTATTGTTTATGTTTTTAATCTGTGACACAGAAAGCTGATCCATCACAGGAAAGAGACGCTAGCTCGGCGAAGTTCCTCCTCCATCGGACACAAACCCAACATCCCTTGTTCCAGCAGTGAAATCACCCTCAGCCAGACCCCCCCTCCGCCCAACGGCCTCAACAGGGACTATGGAAGACAGGGAGGCGTGCCGTTATCAGGAAGCATGGACAGCATGCAGGGAGAGCCCTGCTGTTACCAGGTGACATTAAAGATGGGCTCACAAGGTCTGCAGGGTTTGTGTGTGTAGAAACTGAATAGCTGTTGGGAACTTTAAAAAAAAAGAAACTTTTCTTCTTTTTTAATCTTCAATCAAGCAAATAACTACATGCAAATAATTTCTCACACTGGTTAAAAAAAGTTGCTGACAGGAAACAGGTTTTATTAATAGTAACACAAAACAGGATTGACATATTATCACGTTTTAGAGAATTTTTAAACATTTTTCATTCCTGGTAATCATGTCCTGTTCTTCCCCTTTTGCAGGTGCCCCCCCAGCCTCGGCGTGCTGCTCCCATCACCCCCCCTCCTCCCGAGAAACAGAGAAACCAACGGCGTCCAGGTTAGCTTGGACTCCTTCGTCCCCGAACCCTCTGCAGTGTGATGATCTTGCAGCTCTTTTATTTCACAAACATTCTATTCTTAGTCGGGTCACCCCGCCCTCTTGGCCCATTCACTTTCACCTCCTTGTAATCTGACCCCCCCCCCCCCCCCCACACACACACACACACACACACACCATCACCCCTCCCTCTCTCTCTGTCTGTCTGCAGAGCCGGAGGTCCCCTCCAGAGTTTCCTCTCTGCCTGCGTCTCCTGCTCCCTCCCTGACCATCAGCAGCACCTCCACGGAGTCCGGCTCCTCCCGCTCTTTGGCTTCCTCTGATGTCAGTCTGCCGAGTGTTTCCAGCACTCCCCCTCCTCCTGTGCCATCCCGCATGAAGCCCTCTATGCCAACTGCAGACGTGCCTCCGTCTGAAAATCCTCCTGTGAGGAAAAGCCCGGCACCGCCACCCCCGCAGCACCCTGAGCCCACCAAACACACCAAACCCGACGCTCCCGTCCTGCTCATCGCGCAGCAGAACCCATCAGAGATTACCGAGTGGCCCCCTGCCCCTGCCTCTGTTTCAGAGAGCCCACCTGGGAGCCCCGCCGCATCGGAGCCGGTACCCATGAGCGTTGGAGCAGAGTTAATTGAGCTGGTTCGGAAGAACACGGGTCTGAGTTACGAGCTGTCTCGGGTCGCTGTTGGAGTGGTGGTGGGCCACCTGCAGACGGCTTTACCCCGATCCTCCTCCGACTTGGAGCGTGTTCTCCTGACTCTGGTGGAGAGCAAGGTCAGACTTGCTTTCGTTCAGCACTTCTGAGGGTTTAGAGTTACAGCTCTGTTGGCCTTCAGCTGACCTAATAAAAAAAATAAGTTTCTGTTTTAAATCTGCCAGGCATCAAACTTGAGCTGAAAGAGGAACTGAATGTTGCAGCTTCAAATCCCATCATTTATTTTTAGCAACATGTGCAAATGAAGACCTCTTTCACACTTCCACCACAAACACCTGTAAGCACCACAGCCGCACGGCCAAACGCAATCGCCCGCTGCCTCTTTCAGTTTAAAACAACGAACATCTGATGATGAGAAACGATGGTGTTGCAGCTGTTTGTGGTGAAATCTGGTAAACGTGTGTGTTCAGTCAGCGCTCAGATTATGTGTTTATAAAACCAACTGGATCCTCCTAGTGAGCTTCATGTAGGAGGATGTAAAAAGTGTCCAAGTTAAAACAGGACAATATAGATCCCACACAAAGAGCAGAAGGATTTCTGGCGTTCCGGTGCGTTTGAAGATCTAAGTCGACGTTTTGTACCTGTGCAGGACTTAAGTTCAGCGCTGCCGCAGGGACAGGTGTGTCATGATGAACAGCGTCTGGAGGTCATCTTCAGCGACCTCGCCCGTCACCGTGATGATTCGCAGCAGCGTAGCTGGGCGCTTCACGAAGACCACGCCCTCATTGCCTGCTACCTTGAAGAGCTGCTAAAGATCCTGGTAATCAGATTACCGATCCAGAGTAATTTGCATGTCTGGTAGAGCACATTCAAGCTCCTGCATCCCGTAACTTTGTGTTTTCAGACTGATGCGGATCCAGAGGTGTGTAAGAGGATGTGCAGGTCCAACCACTATGAGAACGTTCTGTCTCTGGTTTCATATTATCAGATGGTAAAGATGCTCGACTCTTTATCCAAACAGTGTTTCTGCATGAGTTTGTATCTACTGTAGAAAAACTGCATGTTTGAACTTTCTCCTCATTCAGGAGCTCCGCGTTTCTCTGAGGCTGCTGCTGCTCAAAGTGTTCGGGGCGATGTGCAGCCTGGACGCAGCACTCATCTCCACCCTCCTGAACTCCATCCTGCCCATGGAGCTGGCCAGAGACCTTCAGACAGACACGCAGGGTGGGACACAAAAAATCTAAATGGACCTGACACTAGTCAGACTGCTTCTCTGATTCATTCTGACCTGGCTTTCCACTGGATGCGTAAGCGGCGTGTAACGTAATAAACGTGTTTTACCTGCGAGCTCACTTCCCACGGGAGCGTGTCAGACACAAAACAACAACGAACGCATTCCACGCAGCTGGTCCCACAAGGTCACAAAATCACAAGAATTGAAAGACCACGCGTGATTTCAGCAGTCCACATGATAAAAAGCTAGGAGAAAGATGGCAGCTTGTTTCCATAAAGGTCTGGTTTATTTCCTGTTCTCTTTACCTTGATTACAGAGGTTTCACAGGCAATGATGTACTTATTTTTTTTTTTTTTACTAAAGCAACTAGAAATCTCCACGTTACTCTTATTTTGAAAATTTCCTGATGTTTGACACTTCTTTCGTGTTTGACTTCCTGTCAGGCCCGATCGGAACGTGGGAATTTGACACGTTCTGGAAGCGTAGTGTGTAAAAAATAGACTTGAAGAGTAAGCATTGTGTGCCTACGCTTCTGGGAGGCCTCCAAAACATAAAACTTCGCGGTTGCTGGAAATGCACCTATCCACTATGACTGTGTTTAATTAGTTGGTACTATGCTTTACGGGCGTTACACGCCGCTTACGGATCCAGTGGAAATGACCGAATCCCAAAAAATCCCTGAAAGAATTATCTAATTTTTCGTTCCACCACTCTATAAAAAATATGCTGCTGGCATTAAAATCAACATGATGATGACTTTTGACAGTTTTGGGTTAGTTAGTAGTTTTACCAGGTATTTGTTTTCCATCAGAACACCAGAAGATGTGTTACTCAGCTCTGGTCCTGACCATGATTTTCTCCATGGGAGAGCAGGTGCCATATCATCACTACGGTATGAAGGGTCTTTTACTAATTTTTAAATCTGTTGTTGCACTTTTTAGAAAAGGTTAGTTCAGATTACAATCGATGATTCTGGAGAATAAATGATGATTTTCCCCTGCTGGAAATGCTCTTAAAGTCTATTTCTCCAAACTGAGGTTATTCAAAGAGCTAATTATAACCTAACCAGTCTGGTGAGCTGAGGTTTGCGGACTCTCCTCTTTTAGAACACCTGAATGCTGATTTTGTTGGGTTCCTGTTGGGTGTGGTGGAGGATGGCCTTCCCTCTGATCCCACAGAGCAGCTTCCTGACATTTTCCTGAACCTGGTGCTGGCCTTTAACCTGCACCACACAGGTGAGAAGGACAAGTCAACGCTTTGCTCTTCTTCTAATGGCTTTGACCCTTAATTGGTTTATGTATCTTTTGTTATTTCTGAGCCAGCACCCAGCAACAATGTGATAATGCAGCAGCTGAGACAGAAAAATGTCAAGGTCCTGACAGAGAAAGTGCTGCTGCTCTTCAACCGAGGCGGTAAAGAACAGTGGATTGTTGTTTCCTGCGTTTTTCTGTGGTTTTGTTAAAACTCCCTTTGTTGTTATTTCTCTCAGAGGATCCTGTTCGTATGTTTAAACACAACCCCCCTGCACCGCACTCCCTCCTCAAGTTTCTGCAGGATGTTTTCGCCAGCCGAGAGACAGCTGACATCTTCTACCGCACTGACATGATGGTGATGATCGACATTGCGGTTCGACAAATATCTGACCTTTCACCGGGAGACAAGGTGAGACTCTGACACCCTTGCTTATTCTGTGGGATTAAAGGTTTTTCACAGACATGCTAGCTATTTCAAAATTCTGGGGAAGCATCCTCGTAGGGACCCCTACCTCAACGTGGCCATCGTTGCTTAGCAACCGTGAACACACTTGGATGCCATATTCCCTAGATTTAGGTAAGTGGGGCAAAAGCCTTTTGTAATCAGCTCAGTCATACTCCTGATCTGGCGGTATTCTGTTAGCTTTAGCTTAGCATAAACAATGTAAGTGAATGGTAACAGCTAGCAGCTGATACTCCTCTTTTTAAAGTTTAAAGTCAGGCCCATCTGTGGGCAACCCAGTGCTGCTGCAGAATTTTATTTACGTTCCTGAAAATGCATCTGCTTAATAAATACTGATATTATTGTCATTTGACATTTTTTTATTCACCTCATTGTTCATTTTAGTGATTTGTTTGTTTAACTTTGGTTAAATGTTTGAATATTTTTTAACAGAGAACACAGGTCATCAACTGTTTTAAATAAGGCAGAAAACACCATGATATCAGCCACAGGCTCACCATGATCTCCACATATCTGCATCAGTAATTAAAAATCAACACATTGGTCTATCTCTACTTGCAAGTATGCAGCTCCTGGATCTGGACATGCCCACTGTTTCAGTAAAACGATGAAACAAGTCTGTACTAACACCAAGCTTGTCTCCCTGTGAAGCTGCGGATGGAGTATCTCTCCCTAATGCACTCTATCATTCGCTCAACGGACTACATGGAGCACCGGCACCGCCTGTCGGACCTGCAGGGCTCACTGAAGAGGATTCTGAGTGAGGAAGAAGATCCAGGAGAGGATGAAGGGAGCGCCACAGCCAAACAGATGGATAAGCTAATTGTAGAGCAGATCTACAAGGAGTTTCCACAGATCCGTTGGAACTGACCGTATCAGTGTTACACACACACACACACACACACACACACACACACACACACACACCATAGTCTTCTGCATGGGGGGTACGGTAAAACTTGAAAAGAGAAAGAACCGAAGTTTGATGTCGGCACCAGCTGAGAGAAAACAGAACGGATCCTTCTAGACTCTGCAGGGCAGCAACATGCATGTGATGTTTCCACACCTTCTCAATTCTCAGTTTATTAGAATAATAAAAAATGTATGCCGTGTGTTTAAGGAAAATAACAATGCATATAAACTGTAACGGTTTCATTCAGCTTAAAAACAACCAGAATAAAAGCCAAATCTTAAATAGTGTTTTTAAAGTGAACCTTAGCAATAATCTCTGTGACTCACACGTGGACTAACTGCATGAGCTACAGCTGAATGGTACTCTAGCTAAACTAACAAAGTGGGTCAGTAACCGTGCTGTGCTTCCCCTGTAGTGGGACCAAACTGCAGTGTTACTAACAGGATCATTTTCTTAAATAGTTTCTGCAACATGACTTCCTGTTTCATTCATTAATATTACTTCAAATTCAAGAGAATTAGAGCATCACGAACAAGTTTCCTTCTGACTCATCACAACTAAAATGATCTTGTTGCTGCTGTACCTTTTTTTTCTCAAGTGTTGACTGGTGATGCAGAAGTTCTGGTTTACAGACTGAAATACAACTGCTGCACCCATGCATGATGTGGATATCTTGGCTTTTCTTGGCCTGTTTTGCAGTAGCATCGTGTGATGGCACATCAGTCAGCACTGCTCACTCTATCTCGTGCTCCTGCTGAAAATCAAGACGAGAACAAACCCAGGGCATTTACGTTAGTAGTTTTAATGTTCTTTCCTCCCTTTTTCCCCTTTCTGATGTTGTTACTGATCACCTTTCTGTGGTTTCTGGTTTAGTCCTGACAAAAGTTTTCTTCTTCAGAAGAACAATCACATTTTACTGTTTTTATGTTCTGACTAATAGTGTCTGTTTACATGCTGTACGTGTCTGTGCTTGAGTGGAAACATCTCCGTGGTTAGCATCGTCTGCAAAAGTGCTGCAACTTTGTAATGAAACTAATAAAGATATATTTTAACAGTGAAAGCGGTGGCTCTTTTTGTGGAGCATAGAAACATGATAGTTAAACAAATTGAGGTGATTATGTTGCACTTTAAGGCTGCAGGGTGGAGCACTGTTTCCTCACAGCAAGAAGGTTACAGGTTCAAATCCCGGCTGTGGTCTTTTCACATTTGTTTTCATCCTACGGACCAAAAACAAGCAGACTGTAAGCGTGTCTCTTGGTGTGGGTTAGTATTTGACTTGTTGTTTGTCTCTGTGTCCCCATGATGGACTGGAGGCATGTCCAGGATGTCTGATGATTCAAATCCAGAGATCACCTCAGTTATGTCCTGTGTGCACCCACACATGCAGTTAAACACTTGTTCAAAGGCACATCTTGCTCTGCACCACAACCGGCCCTTGAGCCAAGATAGTTCATGCTTAACTGTGACAGAAACAAAAAGTCTCCCTCATCTGCTGACTTGACACGAAGAGAAAGCACAGCTCTATGTCAGAAGATGTTTGCTGGAGCATCCTGCTGTGTCTTGTCTGAGGTACTGACCCAAACCCACACCTAACTGCAGCAGAAACAAGACAAAGGCAGTCTGTCTCGAAGAGGTTTGCAAACAGAAATGTTTTTGCCGATTGTTGCTGGAATACAGCCATTGAACATGATGTAGAGCCACACATTTCTCAGGGAGCATTTGCAGGCATTTGTGTGATTCACACACCAACGCTATCTTCAGCTTATCTGATCATGGCAGCCAGGGCAGAGAAGTCCAAACATCCTTCTCACCAGCCACACACACACTCACATATATATAGTGCTCAGCATAAATGAGTACACTCCTTATAAAAGTGTGAATTTAATCAGTAGCACTTTTTTGTTACTGCTGCCAGCCTTTTTATAGTCACCTGTCTGCTGGACACCTCTTAAATGAATCATTAGACTCACCTGTGGTTTAATGCCTGTTAATTTAAATTTTGTACTCTTAAGTGTGGCTTTTCTCTGAAGACTATAATTGAGGTGCTCATTTTTGCAACATAGGCCTGAATGAATTTGTTAGGAAAATCACGTTTTTGTGTGAGCAAATGAACAAATCTTGTTTGCAATCAATGGCCCACATTACTTTGTGGTATGGTATCTCATAGAAAATTTTGATTCTGAAAGGAATCTAAAGGTTTTCTGACAAATGAACTTGGGGTACTCATTTATGCTGAACACTGTATGCACCATCGACGTATACAGGTGCTGGCCAGTAAATTAGAATATCATCAAAAGGTTGAAAATATTTCAGTAATTCCATTCAAAACGTGAAACTTGTACATTATATTCATGCAATGCACACAGACCAATGTATTTCCAATGTTCATTACATTTAAATTTGATATTCATAAGTGACAACTAATGAAAACTCCAAATTTGGTATCTCAAAAAATTAGAATATTCTGAAAAGGCTGAATATAGAAGACACCTGCTGCCACTCTAATCAGCTGATTTACTCAAAACACCTGCAAAGGCCTTTAAAAGGTCCCTCAGTCTTGTTTTGAAGGCCCCACAATCATGGGGAAGACTCCTGACTTAACAGCTGTCCAAAAGACAATCATTGACACCTTGCACAAGGAGGGCAAGACACAAAAGGTGATTGCTAAAGAAGCTGGCTGTTCGCAGAGCTCTGTGTCCAAGCACATTAACAGACAGGCGAAGGGACGGAAAAAATGTGGTAGAAAAAAGTGTACAAGCTCTAGGGATAACCGCACCCTGCAGAGAATTGTGACGACAAACCCATTCAAAAATGTGGGGGAGATCCACAAAGAGTGGACTGCAGCTGGAGTCAGCGCTTCAAGAACCACCACGAGGAGACTCATGAAAGACATGGGATTCAGGTGTCGCATTCCGTGTGTCAAGCCACTCTTGAACAAGAAACAGCGCAAGAAGCGTCTCGCCTGGGCCAAGGACAAAAAGGACTGGACTGATGCTGAGTGGTCCAAAGTTATGTTTTCTGATGAAAGCAAGTTCTGCATTTCCTTTGGAAATCAAGGACCCAGAGTCTGGAGGAAGAGCGAAGAAGCACAGAATCCACGTTGCATGAGGTCCAGTGTAAAGTTTCCACCGTCAGTGATGGTGTGGGGTGCCATGTCATCTGCCGGTGTTGGCCCACTCTGTTTCCTGAGGTCCAGGGTCAATGCAGCCGTCTACCAGGAAGTTTTAGAGCACTTCATGCTTCCTGCTGCTGACCAACTTTATGGGGATGCAGACTTCACCTTTCAACAGGACTTGGCACCTGCACACAGTGCCAAAACCACCAGCACCTGGTTCAAGGACCATGGTATCCCTGTCCTTGATTGGCCAGCAAACTCGCCTGACCTTAACCCCATAGAAAATCTATGGGGTATTGTGAAGCGGAGGATGCAATACGCTAGACCCAACAATGCAGAGGAGCTGAAGACGACTATCAGAGCAACCTGGGCTCTCATAACACCTGAGCAGTGCCACAGACTGATCGAGTCCATGCCACGCCGCATTACTGCAGTTATTGAGGCAAAAGGAGCCCCGACTAAGTATTGAGTGCTATACATGCACATTCTTTTCATGTTCATTCTTTTCAGTTGGCCAACATTAGAGAAACAAACATTTTTTCATTGGCCTTTAGAATATTCTAATTTTCTGAGATACCAGATTTGATGTTTTCATTGGTTGTCACCTATAAATATCAAAATTAAACGTAATAAACATCGGAAATACATTGGTCTGTGTGCATTGCATGAATATAATGTACAAGTTTCACGTTTTGAATGGAATTACTGAAATATTTTCAACCTTTTGATGATATTCTAATTTACTGGCCAGCACCTGTATACGGTATACACACACACACATGCACGCAACCAAACAGAAACCACAAAACAGCTAAAATATATTCTCTGCAAGACACTTAATGATTTTAATTCAGAGAAGTAAAAGTGAAAAAATAAAAAAGAAAGAGAACTTGAAAAGCATGAAACATAAAAAAGAAAAGAAAAAAAATCAAGAAGTTCTTGCAAATAAATAAATGATAAAATAAGCTAAACTAATAATTTTCAAAGCAATAGAACTAAATGGTCCCCGGGTTATGTACCGGTAATTTGTGTTTTGCCATCTCTTGGGGGCGACCCTACAGTTTTCTTGTTTGCTTGTCTAATCCTGCAAACATTCTCCAGTTGTTGATTAAGAATTCTCTAATGCCTGCCTTTTATTCTATTTATTATGTTTTTATTTATTCTCATATGCTTTGTCATTAGTTTTATTTCCTTTTATTTGCTCAAGTGTGATTTTCTTTTGAATTACCTGCGAGACATCTCGGCCAGCTTATGTTTGCAATGATACTCGAACATTTTACCTGGTAAAATAAAGGACGTACAAACAACTGTGATTGTACGAGAGCTGCTGTGTTGATGTTACCATAGAAACGCTCCATCACCTCCATCACTATATATGTCGATGCATCACCTTTGTAGTTTATCTCGGAGCACGTGACGAACTCTCTCCTCCAACATGGACTTGACTGCTATGAACAAGAGAAGGATTCGTGAATTAGCAAAAACAATCACTGAAAAGGATAAACACTGTGAGTAGAACTTTTTTAAACTTCTTTTGACCCCGCTGTTTCGGTTTGTTGACGGAAGAAGCTAGTGGCAGCTAGCTAGCAGCTACACAACGTAAACAAGGATTATCTGTGTTTGCTAGTCAAGAAGAAGGAGACGGAGAGCCTGATCCTGGAGTTTTATGAGCTTCTAGGGCAGAAGGTTAAGCCGGGCACAGAGGAACACGGAGTGGACCGATTGAAGTTCAAAGTCTACCTCCACGACATGTTTAGGTTGTCCAAGGAGAAGATGACAGATGGAAGTAGGTATCATTCCAGAATGCAGTCCCTTTTCAAAAGGGATGCTGTCTATTTATCCTTAGACTGCCTTTTAATTATTCCCAACACATTTTTATTTGGTAAATGTTTTAAATGAAACTGGTCAGACATTTTATTTGAATGTTGAATTAGGTTATTATTAAATAGGATTGGACCCATTTGTTCTGTTAGGGTTAAAGTTATAATCTGAAAAGACCTTTGTGTTCAACTGACAGGTGTACGTGAGATTAACAGGACATTTTGACATTTCTGTGACATTTTTCCTTTTAGTTGATACTTGTAGCTCTTTGAACAGCCTCGGTTAGGAGAAACAGAGACCAGTTTTGATTCTACAAAGATCATTCTGACTGGGACCAGTTCCAATTTGTTTCTGCTGTCTTAAACAGTGGTGGCTGGTGAAATTTTATTTGTTTTTTTAGTAAGACACATTTTTGCAAGACAGTTTTCAGATGTGCTAACCACATGACTAGGGGACACCAAATTAGCATTCTTATGAGTCACACAACTTTTACCAAGTCCACGACTACTTTTGGCAACAAAGTTGTTCAATATTCACCAATATATGCAAACTGCACACTTTAAGCCATACTATGCACGTTTTTCATATGTGCTAACATGACCGTTTACAATGTTAATGAAATGTCATTCAGACCAACAGGTGAGTCATTTTTTTTGTTTGGAACTGTTCGACAGAAATCCTCCTCTAAAGATCTGAACTACTTTAAATTGAAAACTTGGCAATAATCTATAATGGATAAATAAATCTGATATATTTTGCTGCCTGTTTAAAACACATTTATCCTGAGACAATGGCTAACGCAAAACTTTATTGTAAAACAAACAGACAGACAAAAACCTGCTAAAGACACATTTATTGAAGTGACTTTGCAGCAGATGTTTTAACACGAATCAAATTGAAAACACAGAATTAAAAAGAGCAGGTTTTTTTTTATAACTGTTGGTAATTTTAACGAGTATTAGAAAATTTAACTCTTTAGTACTAAAGGGTAAGTATTTTTTAGAAAACTGTGTTTTTAGAGTGTTTTCAGTTTTCAGGGTTTTTGACAAAGACAGAGACGGCTTCCTCAGTTTGGAAGAGTGGCTGAAGGGAATGACAGTGTTTCTTCGTGGGACCTTGGAAGAAAAAATAAAGTGTAAGCTCCCCCCGTCTCTCTAACCCACGCCCACAAACTCAAATCTAGACTCACAGCCTGATTCTTTTTTCATTCAGATGCATTTTCTGTGTACGATCTGAACGAGGATGGGGAAATGAGCAGAGAGGAAATGTTCTACTTCCTGAAGGACACCCTCCCTGGACTGCCCCCAGAGGAGAACCTTGAGGAAGCAGTAAAATTTCTCGTGGAGATCCCGATGAAGAGGATGGTAAGAGATGTTCAACATCTGTTAGTTTCAACGTGCTCTCATTAGTTAGGAGCTAAAATAATTCTTGCATCCTCTCACCCACAGGACACTAATAAAGATGGACTCGTGTCTTTGGAGGAGTTTGAAGCAGCCGTAAAAAAGGAGAATTTGCTGCTTGAGGCCTTTGGACCCTGCCTTCCAGACACCATGGTGATCACAAGTTAGAGGCTGCTTACTGCTTCAGAATCAGCAACTTAAACTGTGTAATTTACAGTCTGCTTTCTTACCTTTCAGACAACCAGGAAGTTCCAACAGCGGGTTTTTCAGAAGCGCCTGGAATAACCTTCGTTCCTACACGAATTTAACCTTCTGATCTTATGATCAGAAGACATTCATTTAGTCATTTATTTAGTCTGGCTTGCCAGGCTAAGCTGTACCACCTTGAGTCACGTAAAACTGCGACTCAACTAATACACGTGACAGCCCCATCTAGTGGACAACTTTTGTTTCTGCGCATAGCCGCATACCTGTAGTTATCGTCCATTTATCGTTATCAAGGTGAAATCCTCAATATATCGTGATATTAATTTTAGGCCACATCGCCCAGCCCTAGTAGCAACCTAATTTTCATTTCTAGTTTTTAAAATGTTCATCTTTAGTTTTTTGTTTTAATAAATTTGTTAATGTTGTTTTACCTTAATTTGAACTACTACAATTTTTTCATGTTCTTGAGGTTCGACTAGTCTGAAATAGCCAACAACAACAGCAGAAATCTCACTAAATAAAACTTAGAGTATTTTAAGTATATTTCAAGAGTCTTTTTCAATCTGTAACCCCTGTTTGGGGTCACAGATTGTGGGGGTGGTTTGTACACTGATGAACCAACGTACAACTATTTAACATCACCAGCTATACTAATGTGTGTTTTCAGACTGTGAGAGAAAGCTGAATGAATGATTCATGTTTGAGGAGAACACACAAACTCTAAACAGAGTTTAGAACATTTACGCTATCAGTTAAACCACAAATAAAAACTGCAACAGGTGAAAGGAAGCACCAAATACGGATCCACGGAAAATCAGATTGTCTGCTCATTTAAACTTTGAAGTTTGTATGTTGTATAAAAACAAAAATAATACATTTTAAGCAATTAACAGTTCACATGCACTTTTAAAGATTAATTTGGGAATTTCCGCTGCATTTTTATGTGTTATTCATTCAACATAAGAAATACATATCATCTGAAAACTAACTGGTTCTTTTTAACATTCAAAATGTTGCCTATTAGTGTTAGTATGATTGCTGCTCATTTATACATGAAAAGAAACAAATATATATTTATATATTTTTTTCCAAACACGTCCCACACTAAATCTGTATATCTGATTTGAAATGATAGCTATTTCTCATGGTTGCTAATTAAAAGTGTTCCAGTAGGGGATGCTGTGGTATCTATAGTTATTAGCTGTGACAATGAACAAAGCTAAATTAATTTCAACACCAAATGAACATAAAAGTAAACTCTTAAATTTACTCAGTACACACAAGTTCATCAACCAACACAATATTTGTAATTATGTCTGTTAATTGGTTGGCAAACTTTGTGTAATGTTGACTTGCATTTTGGTTTATAATTTGTTTTAGTTGCATGGTTTGCTTGTCTATATTTATTTTTTGTTGTTTTACTAATTAACTGTTAACTTATGTTTAAAGAGGTCACTTATTGTATTTGAAACCATGACACAGCAGTAAACCAGTCTAACAGGAAGCGGTGAAATGATGATTTTTTCACCAGTGCTGGAGGCCTTTTTCTTACCATGTGCCACTAGGCTTCTCTTATCAATGATTCGTAAATAGTTTACAGTTATGATGCTATCATTAATAAGTGAGAAAGAAGAATCCTGCACAGAGAGAACTACTCTGTGGTACTTTTATGAAAACACAGCACAGTCTAGCTGCAGAGCAGCTGATCTCTCTGATTAGGGCCTTGGTTGGGCTTTTCGTGTTTCAGCTTGAACAAAAGACAAGCAGCCAGGAAGTGCTCTAGCCAATCAGCAACTGCCTTACATTTGGTGCATCTGCGGGGCCAGTCTGAGCGTGGCTTTTATCAGAACCGTGGAGTCTGACAGCTGGGGGAGTCGTGGCTGTGCTCTGACCAGGGTGAGGGCTGACTGAGCTGTCCTCCATGTTTTAATAAGCATTGACACATTCACAGAGTTTTTAGACATGCAGCCACAGAGGTAAGACTGACTTTTATTTTCTCACACGTAGTGTTCTGCTGATTAGGCACCAGCCACTGTGTGATCCTTGCTTGTGGGATAATACAGGTTTGTCCCACAGGCAGGGGGGAATATTTGAGTGTTTTAGCACATTACAGGGCCGTAAAGCTCTTCTAGCTGGGTGGCAGGAGGACACCCCAAAGGCAAGTGCAAGAATCAATGTACGCTGACTTAAAAAAGCTTTACTTTAAATACATTTGACAAGAGAACACTGTGTTACAGCTGTGCCAGGCCTTTGACAAGGCCTGTGAGGGCAGCAACCAGGATGAAGGAGACAGGGAGCACTGCAGAGGAGAGCCCCCAGAGGAGTTAACAGATGGTGAACTGACAGCACAGCAAGATTAATTTAGGCCTTGAACTGAAGTGAGAGCAAGGCTGCAGGATCCTGCTGTTCATTGTTTGCTCAGCTAACAAAGCAGAGAGGAACATTATCCAAATATCAGACACTCACTTCAAAACGATGCCTATTGGGTAAAAAACACCTGCTTTTGTAGGTTTGTATCCTGCTAGACTTTTCAAAAACACCAGTCATCTAAAGACTACATCGTATTCCTGCCATTTATTTGTGGCTGGATTGGAGGAATTGCCACAGGCTGACAGTTTGCACTGCCTCCCAGTGTTTTTCTGGACTGCTGGGTGTCAGCCATTTTAAAAAGCTTCCCCTTTCTGTCCCTCTGTTCCAAACACACTGGCTAGTTGTGTGTGAGGGACGGAAAGAAGAAGGGAAGGACTTCCTCTGAAAGGCTTGGCACAGAAACCCTTATCTCACCCTGACAGGCTTGAAAATCTTTGCTGAAGTCGATCAGGTTAGACTGAATTCTGCTGTTGCTTAATACCCAACAGAGTTATTTATTTACCAGTTTATTATTATCAGCGTTTACCCTTGACATGCTTTAGGTCAGTTAGCTTATGCAACAGATATTTTGAATGGAATCAGAGAATTTATGGTCGTGGGTGAAAAGATTTACAGAATGACCCAAATTTTGGTTTCCCACAAACTTTGCTGCTACAGTGTTTTTTGAATACCTTTATGGAGAACTGATGTACAATTGCAGCCATCCCATAATCTTTAAAGGTGTTTATTGATAATTACGTTATGCTGGTGCAAAGAGACAATATTTTTAGCAATGGTGTTTATTTTTCAGGCTCCCTACAATTCACTCTGGCATAGGCTGAAGCCTGACTGACAGATTGATAGAATAGAAAAATAGAGCAGAATAGAATAGACTTTATTAACCCCACAGTGGGGACATTCACTCGCTCTAGCAGCAAATACGCTTAGAGAAAAGGAGGAAGAAAAATAATAACGATGACAGGTAAACACACAAAGGCAATAAGCTATTATTGTAACCTTCAACCACTAAAAATAATGAATAAAAAGGAAACGTGTTTCCACAACTATGCAGCATAAGGGACACAGACATGCTGATGTACATCAGGTATGGCACAAGTATTAAATGCATACTGAATATTGCACTGATATTAATGTTTAACAGGATCATGCCAGTACCAGTTAAACTGAGGAGTTATACACTCCTACTGCCGATTTCACTTAAATATTGTCGTCAGGTGCTCTGGGGCCAGAAATACAGTGCAAATGTTTAGTGTGTGTATGTTCAGCTTAATGGAAAACAGAGACCGGTGTAGTCTGATGTGTCTGAGAATTGATGAAATTCCAGTTCTTTCACAGAGAGTTGAGATGTCACACTCCCAAACTTAAGACACCATTATGGCTGCTGCTACTCCATTTCACATTTTACGTGGCTGCAGAGGAGAGTTCTGGTTTTCTGCAAAACAACAAGTGCACTGCTCACCTTAAATCTAACAGCCGAGAGGCAATGAAAACGTTTAAACACCACAGCATCCATGGTTTACCAAGTGTTATCTATTTATATTAGAGTTTCAGTTGTATCCTTGGGTTATAAAATAAATAACCCTGTTATAACTGAGATTCACACAGCTAAAGGACTTCCTGTTGGCTGACGTCATACTCCCTCACGCTCACATTTCCTGGCTGTTACGACTGTGCCGTTTGCTGCAGAGGGAATAGACCCTTTTACTACCTACGTCATCAAAAGTTGCGCGCGCAGCCTGGCAACGAGAGTGAAGGCTTCCTTATTCACATTCGATACTAAAACAGCGTTTTAAACCCTTTGTTTTGAAGTTACGAGCACATAAAAATGTCGGGTTGTTGCGTGTATGGATGCCAGAATCGCTTCTCTTCAAGCAGTGGACTGAAACTTTACAGAATTCCGAAGGGAGCACATCCATTTCAACAAAATCGGAGGCGTCTGTGGCTGCAGGCCATCAAAAGGGTTGATGAAAACTGGACTGAAAACACGATCCGAAATGCTCGAGTTTGTAGCGCCCATTTTATATCAGGTAAGGTAATTATGTACTAAGATTACACCAGAAAGCTGGTTAACGTGTGTTCTATTAAATAAAGTAAGTTGCGTTTGCTGGTTTGCTTTTAAGCAGTCTATTTATTTACAGGCGAGGTGTCATTGGACTCCTCGAGTCCTGATTTTGTGCCTTCTGTGTTTACGTACACAAAGCGAAGTCCAAACCCCCACGCAAAGATGGACAGGTATTGTTTACACCTTCCCATCACAGATATATTTAATATTTAGAAATTCTTGCTATTCATGATGTTCAGTGTTATTATATCTTGGTTCTTGACTTGTGTAACTGTTAAGTAATTTAGACCTGTTACATTAAGGTATCAACGGAAAAGGAGAAGGGATGAAACGTCTTGCTCAAGGTATGGCTCAGATGGCTGAACAACTGAACCACAGGTGCTGACCAGGAGTCGTTGGTGATTTTTTTGACATGAAATCACTATACTGTTGTCTAGCGGTTTGCTCCATATTTTCACCCCAGATAACAGATGGGACATTTAATGTGGTCTTATTGTACTGCATTATGTTCATTATGTAATTTTTGCTGAGCTTGTCTGTTGTGGCCACATGGTGAAATTTTGTACTTGTGATCCTACCAGCCCTATGGACATGCCAGTCATGTGACTTTGACTGCTGCCTTGTTACCCATTGTAGTTTTTCTAGTTGATGATGCTGTGTTGTAGTTTTTAGTCTTTGAAATGTTTCTTCACACTTTACATTTAATTCCTGTGGTGAGAGCTCCCTGAGTGTAGTGTCAAATAAAGCAGTCAAGGGCTCTGGAAAGCCAGTTTGTTCCCCTGTATCCGTGTCTGATGAAGCTGTATCTGTGTCACTGTTGTCCATGCTTGTCTGGACTGCAGCTTCTGGCTCCACTGCCTTTAGATCCAGGATGTCATCATCTGTCAAGGCTGGGGAAAGGGTAATAAGACATAATTAGAATGCAGTTTTAATACATTTTATGTTTTTATCTTTTCCTTTATCTAAAGACACAGAATAAATTATTACCAATTAATTAAGAAATAATACATTCAGTGTGCAACCACAAACCAGAACTTAGATTACACTTGTCATTCGTTACATGCCTCCTAGTGTGACACTGCTCCTCCTAACAGTTTCGGAAGCAGCTGGGAGCTGTATGCAAAACTTCTTCAGTTTGTGGAAACTGATCTTCTTCAGAGGAGCTGGTTCTACATTATTCCTGCTCAGGTCTTTCCATGCACATGCCTGAGATGTAACTGCAGCCTTTTCTGTTTTTCCCATCCTAACACAAAGCTCAACTTTGAATAAAATTGCTGCTGCTTGGCTGCAGCATGACCCAAGTCTGGAACATCAAAATGACAGAATTAAACAAATGTATGCGCTTTATTTCATGCTTCAAATTAACATTTCATTCTAATTAATCTGTATTTTCCCACTGCATATTAGTATAAACTGTATTTCTCTAAAATTAACACGATTGTACTCTGAGCACACCAAAAAAAGAAACCTATGCTATACTCACCCTGCCATGCAGGTACAGTTGCTGTGACGACGTAGTTCTATGGTTTGTTTACTATGACCCAAGCCTCGTACATAGCAGTCTTGTGTCCTTGTCTCTGGCTAGGAAGGACTTCTGCCTTCAAGACGCAAAACTCAAGAGTCTATGTCGTGATATTTTACTTTCTGTACGTGGCCACAGACAACATAGTTGTATGCATCTAACGATTTGTATGCCCGTAGCTTCTCACGTGTGTACTTACCGGGCCTCTCCACTAAAAACGTATATATATCGGGCCACTGGATATCTGGCCACGCACCTACATCTTCCACCCATTCCGTAATGCCACAGGGATCCGGGAGTCTGTTGCCATTCGTTAAAGTGAGTTTAATAATATAACATTCAAGATTTGCTGGTGATAACCCCGCAGCGTAGCTTGATAAAGCCTGACACAACGCCATTCTCTGTTGCCAAGCTGTGCGCGCATTCTCGCTGATGTCATATTGTTTACAAACAGTAAAAGGGTGGGAGGCCTGTGACATTTTCAGGCCTGTCTTTGTGCCTGGCTCACTTGGCTACATGTCCACATGCAGAGGCTCATAATAAGCTGCATGTGGTCTTTTGCAGCCGATTATACATGGTGCTGTGTGGGGAGGGAGGGAGGGAGGGAGAGAGAGAGAGAGAGAGAGAGAGAGGGAGAGAGAGAGAGAGAGAGAGAGAGAGAAGAGAGAGAGAGAGAGAGAGAGAGAGAGAGAGAGAGAGAGAGAGAGAGAGAGAGAGAGAGAGAGAGAGAGAGAGAGGAGAGAGAGAGTGAGAGAGAGAGAGAGAGAGAGAGAGAGAGAGGAGAGATGAGAGAGAGAGAGAGAGAGAGGAGAGAGAGAGAGAGAGAGAGAGAGAGAGAGAGAGAGAGGAGAGAGAGAGAGAGAGAGAGAGATGAGAGAGAGAGGAGAGAGAGAGAGAGAGAGAGAGAGAGGAGAGAGAGAGAGAGAGAGAGAGAGAGATCGAAAAAGGATGCCATTCACATCCACGGACTGACTGCTGTGTGGAGGAGGAGGGTGGGTTCTGATCTTCTCCTTGTCAAGCCTTTACATGTTTTTACATGCCATCAAGGGCTCAGAGCCTGTACATGTCTGCATGAGGTCCGTTGAGAGGCGACTTGTTTTTCAGGAGTTTGGTAGCTCCATCCCATGATCAATGCTCTCGCATTGCAGCACTACGGTTGAGGAAAGCAGGGAGAAGAGAGCCTGTGTTGCACACCAAGCTGAGCACCCAATCAGGCACCTCCATGTGGTTCCTGAGCCAATCGGCAGCTTGCAGCCGAGGTTAGATTGACAATTGCAGGAGAGAGCGGCAGGAGAGAAGGCCTTCTGGGAAACCTGGACTCATCTTTTTCCTCATCCCTCAACATTCTCAATAATTGACAGAGATAAAAGAATAGGTGGACGACTGTGTGTGACAGGAAGGACAAAAGGTATGTTGTTGATTCCCTCACCGAGACATGATTGTTATGGACATGGTGGTGTGGACAGAGATGCATCAGATGCTCTGGAAGATTTGATTTATTGATCATTTTTGTGGAGACAGGCAGTGTTGATTGTGTTCATGTCATCTGTTATCTTTTTATTCTTTAAATGTTTTGGTTGGGTGGCCAGGGATGTTGTTGGGGTGAGCTGTTGGAGGCTGTCCAGACGGGTTAGACTGGAGGTCAGCGAAGCCATCGTCTGCTTTCTGACTGTTATTCTATCCTTTTGTAGTGACAAAGAAGACTGGGAAGTGTGTGAGTGTGTGTGTGTGTGGGAAGTAGAGTACAAGATTTCAGAAGGTAAATGAATGGCCCACACTCATATAGTGCCGTTCAGAGTCAGGGTGCTTTACACTACAGCAGGGGTGTCAAACTCAAACTCACACGGGGCCGAAATGAAACTCTGGGACGGAGTTGAGGGCCAAAGTTAATATTTTTTGAAAAAGTGACAGCAAATTTGCACATTTTCTTCATCAACATGTATGCAATTTTGAACCTTTAAATTTGGAAACAAACATATTTCTGCATTAACACTGAATGTGGAATAACCAGATTACACACGAGCAAGTCAGTTTTAAATAAAACACATCAGTGGTATTCATTACTTGTGGTATATTCAGCATTTTTAAAATTCAATTCAATTCAAGTTTATTTATATAGCGCCAAATCACGACAAGAGTCGTCTCAAGGCACTTCACATAATAAACATTCCAATTCAGGTCAGTTCATTAAGCCAATCAGAAATAATGTTTCCTATATAAGGAACCCAGCAAATTGCATCAAGTCACTGACTGGTGTCAGTGACTTTACAGCAGTCCTCATACTAAGCAAGCATAAAGCGACAGTGGAGAGGAAAACTCCCTTTTAACAGGAAGAAACCTCCAGAGGATCCTGGCTCAGTATAAGCAGCCATCCTCCACGACTCACTGGGGATCGAGAAGACAGAGCAGCCCCCCCCACACACACACGCACACGCACACACACACACAAGCACACGCACACACAAGCAATCTATTCAGGATTTATGTTTTCTTCTTGTTCATTCATTTTTCTTATTTTTTATTCTCCTTTTTTCCTCCTGTAATAAGTGTCATCGCTGCTGTGACGTCTAGCTTTCCCCACTGAGGAACAATAAAGGGATTTTCTATTCTATTCATCTATCTGCAGCCTTTCCACTTCCTGTTTACTGTAGGTTAAATCTTTTCTCACGGGCCAACAACAAAATAAAAATATCATTTTATCTTAAATGAAAATGCAACATCTCACCTGTTAACTTTCATGTTTTGGAGCAGAAAAAGAGCATAAAACCAACATATTTAAAGCTCAGTTTGCTCCACTGGTTTACTGTGATGCTCACCTGTTCCAACCAGATATCCCTTCATCATGGGGTTGATCTGAGCTGAGGAGGAGACTACTGTTGTTTTGTTCATCTTCATCATAATAATGACAACATTAGATGACAACAGCTGCTCACATAGGTTTGTGCTGATGAACACGTCTGAGCAGCTTGACCACATTGTTGTGTGTCGTGGAGGAAAAACAACGACACCAGCCACAGAGTCATGCTGGCTTGATCATGTTGCTGCTCGCTGGAGTAATATCAGCTCTGTCTGGAAGTTAGCTGGAAAACTTTCTCTTTCAGTCGTGAACACTTTACTGAGTGGCTAGAATCTCCGTTTCTGGGCTTCAACGTCAGAAAATAGCCGAGTAAACTCGGCGCTGAGTGAGAGGAGTGTCAGAAACAGTGGAGCTGCAGACACCGGCAGCAGATGCTGGAAAAAAACACAAAGGAGGGGGTGCGTCGGCTCCGCGCTAACGCCGCAAAGCATCATGGGAGTTGAAGTCTTTGCGGTAAAATTGGCCAGCGGGCCAGTTTTAATATATTTTTGATATTTATCTCGCGGGCCACATAAAAATGCTCCGCGGGCCGCATCTGGCCCGCGGGCCTTGTGTCTGACACATGTGCACTACAGTGTATCATTCAGGTTGCAGGGGTCAGCAGCTCAGGCAGGGAAGCCCAGATTGTCTTCTCCACAGCTACCTCCACCTGCTCCTCCAATAAAACCCCTTACTAGGCCAGCATAGCTGTGGCCTAGGTTGACCTGGGGCATTCCTACTGGTAGAACATGCTCTAAAAACTTCATATTGAAGGTGGCAAGGAGGCATCCTGACCAAATATCTGAATCGCATCAACTTGCACCTCTCAACATGGAGGAGCAGCAGTTTTAAACATAGTCCATCCCATACCTCGAGTTCCCTACCCCATCTCCAAGGCTCTAAGAAAACTCATTACGGCTGCTTGGACTTACGATCTTCTTTTGGTTAAAAAACCCCATGACCATGGGTAAGGTTGGACTGACTCCACTTTACAAAACAGGGAAGTAGATGGTATGCTAGCACCATTGCCTTGCAGCAAGAAGGTAGTAGGTTCATGGAGTTTGCATGTTTCTCCTCCATGTTATCTCTGGGTACTCTGCTTTCCTCTCATCGGCCAAAAACATGCATGCCTAGGTTAACTGGAGACTCTAAATTGTCTCTAGGTGTGAGTAAGTGGTTGATTGGTTCTTTGTCTCTGTGTGTCCATGACGGACTGGTAGCCTGTCCAGGCTGTCTCCAACTTTTTGCCAGATGACTGCTGAGCTATAGGCATCAGGCACCAGGATGAATGAATGAATAAACACTATACATCATAATGTATATCTACATTTGTCATTTTGATGTGAATTTTTGTCTAAATGTTATAAAACTATCCTACTGGACGTAGATGGCCCTTTGAACAACCTTCTTTTGGAAAAATCAAAAATTTTTCTGAACAAGATTGATAAACTAAAGGCTAGTAGGCAGTGTGACCAATTTTATAATTTAAAGCACAAACATTCTATATATTCACACTCAAGGTTGTTTTGTGTGAATTAAAAGTGCTGATGTGTGTTGGAGCAGATGAAACTGACAAATTTGTTTTTGATGAAAGAAACATTTTTCTTTAAATGCAAGTTAATGAAGAAAAACTTTCTTACTTGTTATTTCAAAAATATGATCAGTCACTCTGAGTTTCACATGCAGACCGAACGTCTTCTACCCCCTATTTCCTGCATTAGCCATCGACAGAAAATAGACAGAGAAATGCTTGAATTAGAAAAGCCACTCGGATCCATGCCACACAAAATTAGCATTTATGGACTCACCCATCTTTGCTCACGACGAGGAAGGCTGTTGTTGGTTTAGCATCCAGGAAACAGCTGAACACGTCTCGGCTAGTAGAAGCTAACCGCTAGCATTAGCTACTCCACCACACACCAGAACTCCTTCAGGCTTGTGTTATTTGTGGCGATAAAACATCAACATTGCAGAGCAAAAAAAGTCAGTGGTAGAGTCACATTGCTGTTAACCAATCAGAGGTGAGATTTCTGCAAACCAGGAAATAAGACTCTAAATCCTGCAGTTTTTCTGCATTGTTGCAGACCCAGAATTTGTCCTTATTGTAAGCGATCAAGCACACTTTTGCAAGAAATTAAGTTGACCATCAAATACTGCTCATCCTCCTGCTATTCTTCAAATTTTTTTCAATGCATTAAGAATACTGCCCTTTTTACAACATTGTGCATTTTCTTTACTTTTTCATGTATTAATGAAAAGCAGCAAAACCAAGAACAGATTAGTTCAATCTTTCATTGTCCTTCACATGTCAGCAACACACCACTAACAGTTCTCTCTGCGTGTCAGCGTACCAGAGGAGGAAAACACGGAGAACCAGGCTGCAGCAGAAAGCATGGAGATCTCAACAAGATCCAAAGGTAATAAAATACAACCAAAATGTTTTTACTTAAATATCCGTTTGTGCATTAAAGGTCAATGTTGAATGAACTCTTCTGCACAGCAAAGAAAGCCATGATGATATTTCAGCATGCTGGTCTTCAGCGGAACTCTCAGTTCAACAGCAAACTATGAATAAATGTGACTGAAAGTAATATGATTTTGTATTTTAACATTGTGGAAAATGAGCAAATTAAAGATGAAAGATGTACAGCAAAGACAGGAAAAGACACCAAGGAAATGACTGATGGAGTATTTCACCATCAACTGAAGTACTAAATTAAAACTAGAGATTCCCAGTTTCATCAGCCTACTATTATTATTGGCCAATATTGGCATTAAAATGTAACATCAATAATAATTTGTGTAGGTTTTTACTCTTAATGACACACATTTTGCATACCATAAACATAGTATGCATCAGACTCTTGTGGAATTTCACTCAGAGACTTTTAAAAGCAATGAGAAAACAGTCCATGATTCAGTCAAAAAGGCTTAATTTCAATAATTACAATATCAAAATGAGGAGACAGTCATACGACCTTCCCAGGCTCCAGTAATGTGAGTCCTGAGAAGAGACAGGATTCACCGTCAGACTCTGATCTCACCCCGCCTTTCCAGAGGTTTCTAACAAGGAGACCATTTATGATAGTCCAAAGTGCCATCAAGATCCTTATCTACCCCGGAGAAGAGCTGCCAGGAAGAAGGACTCCTCTTTGGAAGTCTCTCAGTCAGGGAAGGTCACAAATCCCAAGAAACCCAGTCCCAGGGATGAAAATGAATCAGGAGACCTTCATCAAATGTATCTGTTACACTCTTGAGCTACTTCGTCTTTCACTCAGGATGTCACTATATGACAGAACTGAAGTTTAAGCTGTTGAGATACTTTGTTTGGCCTATTTTGCACAGATAATGCTTAAAGTATAAGTATTCATATTAGGAAATATGTGATTTTGCTTAACTAAGATTATTTTGTTTTTTATTAAAGGGGACCCTGTTTATATTGGCATTGCTGATTAAGAGTTAGCCTCTTGGATTTAAGTAAAAAGGCCGAAATCAAACATCCCTGTTAAAGACAAAACAAAAAAGGAAATAAAATACAGAAAAAGGTTCTTATTTCATAACAACAGAGAAATGTTTCAGGGTTCTGTGAGTGACTACAAGATCAGCTGTTAAAGGAGTGGTTGAGTGAAAAACCATTTTAAATGTTATTTCTGATTATAATCCATCTCTCTGAGATTTGAATGCAGGCTGAACATGAAAACAGTCTGCTGCACCAATCTCCTGCATCAGATTGTGTTTGAAAATAGATGATGAAACTCCAGGATTTCACATTGGTAAATGGCCTGTATTTGTATAGTGCCTTCCTAGGGTTTTACAACCCCCCAAGGCGTTTCACAACACAATCAGACATTCACCCATTCACACACACATTTACAGTCTGGTGGGGATGATCTACAATTCAGCCACAGCTTTCCCCGGGGTGCACTGACAGAGGCAAGGCCTGCTTAACACTGGCGCCACCAGTCCCTCCGACCACCACCAGCAGGCAAGGCAGGTTAAGTGTCTTGCCCAAGGACACAACAGCAGCATTTTCTGCTCAGAGCTGGGATCGAACCTGCATTCTTCCAGTTACTGGACAACCTTGCCCTGCCACCTGAGCTAGCTGTTGTTATGGGAAACTTTTAGGTCGGACAAATGGTGCACCAGTATATTTCTTCCCTCCAAGAATGACTTACAAGGCATTCCCTCCTACTGGAGACCACTGCAGAAGCAATGATTAAACAAGTAATGCACTCCTTTAAAACTATTAACATACACAGAGGTTTTAAAATGCTTCCAAATATGCAGTTTACATGCCATTCTCCAAATCAAAGGTGTTAGATCTTGGCATTCCTGTTGTGATTGCACAGTTACCTGGACTATTCACCAAACTCTTAGGAGATATTTGTTACTGCAAGCTAGTTTTCTAATCAACACCCTTCCTCTCTCTCCTGAAGGTTGTTAAGGGCACATCCTCTCATTTAAGGAGTACATTTCTTATCTGTTTGAAACTGAAAACCTCATCAGATGAGAGGTGTGTGTCTAATAAACTGAGTATTCTGTTTTCTTTACTGTAACATTTACTACAACCTTAAACCTCTGTTTGAAGTGACCGTGATGCATACTATCTAGTAATTTCGTCAGCAAAATTCTCACATGTCATTTCTCCTACTGCTCTTGTTTTAAGAAGAGCATCAATTGGCTCTTGATTTATTTTCCAACCTCAACATTTATCTGTTGTTTCAGATACAGGACCAACAGAGAGGATGGCCTCAAAACGGAAGATTTCCAGCCCTTCTCAGTCCTCCAATGGCCACTCGTCTGCTGAAACCAACCCTTGCTCAGTCAGAAAAAAGAAAAAACCTGGGGCTGTTAGCAGCAGCAAAGACCAGGTACCAGTCTGAACGGGGTACAAAAGGCTTGCCCTGTCAATTCTTCTGAAATGATCATTGATTTTATTCACCGTTCTCAGCTCTTAGTTTAAAGTAGCATCAAAGTTTTTGCACTGTGCTGTTTGTTTTTTGGAGGACTTCACACCAGTTTGGCGGCGATGACTGAACACACAATCCTGGAACGTAGTTACTCAGAGACCGATGCCCCCGTTCAGCCATGCAGGCAAATGCCAGGATGTAGATTCTCTCATAGGAACATTGGGTTTCACCAGCATGATCAGTTCTGAGCCTCTTTTATGACACACCATGCCGGCAAATCGACGTAATATTACTGCAATGGTATGTCTATAAACGCATCATGCCGGCATGTTGTTGCGTGAATTTTGCGTCATTCGTTCCGCCTATTGCGGTAATGGTCTGTCGTATGCACCCTGGCACAACAAAGGCAGATGTCATGATGACGTGGGGAGTGATTGCTGAGCTCCGGCTGGCAAATTGATTGAAAATGAAAGTAAACACAGGCAATAAGGTTTGCTTTTTGAACAAAATCAGCTGAGATGGCAAACTGGAGCGCCGCAGCGCTCCACGAGCCTCTCTGTTAGAGCTGAAGCTCAGATCACCAGAGACTGCACAGGGACTGATGGGGGGACACCTTTAGGAGTTGCTTGTTAAAAAAAACGTAACGATCACGGCTTCAATCGCAATAAAAAGCAAGTTATGTCCAAGATAAACGGAAGTCTGCGGCAGAGCAGAGACCGCCCCCATACCCCCTTTATGCCGCCATCACCTAATCTTTTATAAAATTGCCACAATTGTGCCACATTACTGCCACGGTCTGATCTTATAAACGACCTTTATCCTCCCCAGGGAGCCGCGGCAAATCCCGTTTTGCAAATGCTATGGTCCTTTAAAAACAGCAGTGAGTTTAATGTTGTAGAGGTTTTTATCAGAAAAACATTTAAGGAGCATTGTGAAGCTCTTCTACAATATATCCATCCATCCACATATAGCAGGTGATGGGTTCTGCCTCCGTTACCATGGTGACCTAGTCAGCCTCAAACAGAGCCTCCATAGTTTTCAGCTCATCTATGTCAGCTAAGAAGGAAATCTGTCTTCATTACACAACCCCACGGTGTGACCTCTGTTTCTGGGCTCGTAGAAATAGACTTTTAAAAATTAGAAGCAAGGTTAAAGTCCATTAAACATGGAAGGGAGTTGAAATTTGATGGATTTGTGATATTTTATACACAAGTAAATAAGGCAAATATTAATAGCTGTTGCAAGTGGAAAAACGTTTGGTGTTTCACATTTTGTAATTTTGAGCTCTTTAAATTGTAATGACTCATGCCTCAGATGGTGAAACACGATGCACAATGTCAAGAAGTTTATTTAGGATTCCACTGAGAAATCAGCATTTCACAAAATGCCTGATGTAGACGCTGTTAATCTATTTCATATAACAGATTATGCACGTTTTGGCTGTGGTACTTTGATGCTTTTTATTGTGCTAAACTGACATCATAGATGTAAAATTAACTATTAAATCTTGTTTTGAGCATTGTGCCCTGAAATATTTAGCTTTTTCATTCACACTGCTGTTTATTATTCATCGCATTACAATAACATTATGTATTGTGTATTTTAACTTCTACTAGTGCTTCTGTTTGAACTAATATTTAACTTTGTACACATGCACAAGAAATGAGTTATGTGAATTGCATTGATATTTTTATGAACACAGAGTTCTCACTAAAAGCTCTAATGAGGGCCGTTAGTTTTCTTTATTTGATAGTTGACAAAAAACGTGCACTTTGCTTGGTTTTAAAACAATTCCAAAATGCAGACGTGATTGTTACCTTCCACCTGGTTTATTATGCTGCATCTTGTAGATAATTAAATGTAATGCCGTGATGTTTGCCTTATTTAAAAATGACTTTTCAAACAAATTAATTTTCTTTGCAGTTGCAAACGTTTGATAATCAGAGAATCAGGCCGATGCTCAAAGCTCACTACGGTTTTTACTCCCTGTAGCTGATCTTTTTGCTGATGCTGTGCATGTCTGCTTGGCTTATTTGGTGTATCTTCTAATTTTGACCTTCCCCAACTTTGTTTTTCTCTTACCTGCATTCCAGTCTGAGCTAAGACATGGCCCCTTTTACTATGCGAAGCAGCCAGCACTCACCACAGACCCTGTTGATGTTGTACCGCAGGATGGCAGGAATGACTTTTACTGCTGGCTGTGCCACCGTGAGGGCCAGGTGCTCTGCTGTGAGCTCTGTCCCAGGGTGTACCACGCCAAGTGTCTCAAACTACCTGCTGAGCCTGAGGGTGACTGGTTTTGTCCAGAGTGTGAGGTACTAAACCCAGAAATGTTTGTCAGTGCTGGAAACACATAAATGATATTAGCCAAAAGTTGTTGTGAATGAATGTAAGATGAATCACAAATATGAACAAACAGAAACAATGCAACCCCTTTCCTTTTGTTTGTGATAATAAAACACACAAAATAAAATCATAAAAAAGAAAGTTTATTTAGCAAAGATAAGCTTATTGGACTAGAGGCCGGCCAATATATTGCATTTTTTGATATATTGGCCATGGGCTGAAAATATTTTTAAAGGCCGATTAATAAAAAAAAAAAAAAAGAAAGAAATCAGGCACCTGTGTGGCCAACTGCTACCACGGTTCTACACTGTTTTATGCTGAGCTAAAGCAAAACTTACTGCTTCCAGATCAGGAGAATGACTGAGCTTGTTAGCTACAAAATCCCTTTTCTCACTTATCTAACTGGGAAATCTAACGACAAACTTTTACTTCTGAGTGGAATATCCCTTTAGGTTTGGTGTTTAATGTTCTCACAATTTTTTATGTATAGTTTATAGATTTTTTAGAATTTTTTTACATGAAGATTTTACCTCGACCAGCCACTGTTTTGTACCATTATTCTGGGTACTGTTTGATTTTTTTATTTTAAACACTTAAAAAAATCTTTATTCTGTTCTATTTTCTATTGTTTTGAAACAGTTTGCACATTGTTGATGTTTTGAATTTGTTTTATATTTGAAGTTCAAAAAATATTTATTGACTTATTTAATTTATATTGCACACAGTTAGTGTTCAGTTGTCTTTCACAATCAATGTCCATGCCGTTTTCATTTGACTAGTTATAAAGATCGTATATGGAACCAAACCAATAATCAGAAGAAAACGTGTGTATATATACATATATCGGCCTTAATAAGCGGCTTTAGATATCGGCAACAAAATTCTTTAAAAATCGGCATCAGCCTTAAAAACATATCGGTCGGCCTTTAGTTTTGGTCAAAGAGCCTTCAAGCTTTGCAATATTTGTTAATATTTAAAACAAACTTTTGGCTAGTTTGTAATCACGTTGTGGACCAGACTCAACATGGACCAAAGAAAGCAAAGGCCAGAGCTGTCTGAGGAAGATTCCAGAAATGGTGAAGATGAAAGCTCCAAGATCCTTTTCATGTAGTTCATGTGACCACAGCTGGCAATATTAATAAAACATATGTAAATGGGATTGTAGCTGATTTCCCAGGATGTGGACTCAAGAGGAAATATGACCCTGGCTGATCAGGTGGATAGCATGGATGATAAAAGTAGACCCAACGAAACCATCCAAAACCATGCAAATGCAACTCATAGGTCTAGGTGGATCCATAACTATTTGAGCAATAATTGCCTCAATTAGAAGAAGACACAAGATGGTGTCATCACAAAACACCTGCAGCTCTTGGTTGATTAGATTAGTTGTGTTTTTACAGGAGGAAAATAAATCTTTCAAAGAAAGCAACATCATAGCTATTAGGGTCATGGAGGAGGGTTTGAAAGACGGGAACTTTTCACAGTCTCCATCAGTGTGGATGGAGCCTGTAGGTGAAGCAATAGAGACTACTGCTGATGGTGCTAAACCTCACTTTGGGGTTCCCTTTGCTCTGGGACAGTATGTTTGGAGAAGTAAGCAACACTCAAGTCTCTGATTGTAGAGGTCAGCAGATCCTTTAGATCGAGGGTGCCAAATCCTGGTCCTGGAGGGCCGGTATCCAGCAGGTTTTGAGGATTCTCTGCTCCCACAAACTAGATTCAGTGGTTGAATGTGCAGCAGCTCATCAGGCTCTGCTGAAGCCTGCTAATCAGTTGCTGATTGAAAACAGGTGTGTTGAAGCAGGGTTAAAACTAAAACCTGCTGGATGCCGGCCCTCCAGGACCAGGATTGGGCTCCCCTGATGCAGCAGATGTACGTGGAAACAGGTTTTCTTCCACAAACACTCAGTCTTCTGCAGGAACTGATCTGGTTCAGACAGGACAGATGTTTCAGCTGATTGTTGCGAAAGGCATTAAATCAAGGGTACCACCTTATTTGTCCATGCCGTTTTCATTTGACTAATTATAAAGATTTTATATAGACCCAAACCAATAATCAGAAGAAAAGCCTGACTTGTGTAAATTTTAGGATAAGCAAAAGGGGTGCATTAAACTTCTGCCAGTTTAAAATTATTTCAGAAATGAGTCCATGTCTGTGAATATCATGATATAAGATACATTGTGACGGAATTAATTATTTGCCTTCATTTGAAAACAAATCTGTTTGTCTTTCTTGTGATGTCTTTCAGAAAATAACCGTGGCTGAGTGTATAGAGACTCAGAGCAAAGCCATGATGATGCTGATGACTGACCAGCTCTCTTACCTGCTAATGTTTGCTCTTCAGAAAATGAAACAACCAGGTGTAAGTACTGTCTTTTTTTTTAGGTTTTTCCTTTACTTATATATTTTTTAAACTGGAAGTGCCTTGTTTACTTTTATATCTAACCATGACTTTTTTACTTGCACAAATATATGGTCAAAAACTCACACAAACAATCTATTCCTTTCACCCACGCCATAACTGCACCTTTTCAATTTGTCATGTTATACTAATTTGCATGTAAAGATAATTACCAATAACAGAACTAACTAACTATTGAATGAACTGTCGTGGCTGGAAACCAGTAAACATGCTAGCTGGTAGTGAGCATACAGCTGCCCCTCTCGCTCTCTTTCAGGATCATCCCCGCTTGTCATCTCGCTCCCCCCATGCAGCTTCCTCGCAGAGAAAGACTTTTAATTGGGTAATCAATTACATCCCTAACAAGACCCCCTCCTGATTTCTTCCTTCGCTGATTTTTTAACTCCTTTTGTCTGAAGCTTCATGGGGTAGTATGTTGGTGAGGGGGAATTTGTTGGGAGTTTATCTTCAGTCTCTTCTTATGATTCTCTTGTTTAGACGGAGCCCTTCCAGAAACCAGTTTCTCTTGAACAGCATCATGATTACGCAGAGTATATTTTTCATCCAATGGATCTTTGCACACTCGAAAAGGTAAAGTCAAATTTCAGCATTCCGTTAATAAAAATTAGAAATTTAATTGTTTTGTGTTTTAAAATCTTAATTACACAGCATCCTCACACAGGAAAGTTGCACAAGAAGTGTGTAAAGGTGAACATTAGTGGTCCTGATAACATTATACCAGCCAGACTCTTCCGGGAGGTTCTTCAAGAGGTAGCCCCTCATGTGCTCAACATTATTAACTCCAGCCTTGTTTCGGGAATTATACCCTCTGTTTTTAAACATGCTGTGCTTCAACCACTACTGAAAAAATCGGGCCTAGACCCAACTGTCCTTGGGAACTTTCACCCCATTTCAAAGCTCCCCTTCTTGTCAAAAGTGATGGAAAAGGCTGTTTATAATCAAATTATGCCACATCTGAACAATTTTGGGGTCTTGGATAAATTTCAGTCTGGTTTTAGACAATATCACAGCACAGAATCCGCTCACATCAGGGTTTTTAATGATATTATTTTAGCCAATGATTCCGGTTCCCATGTTGCCCTGGTGATGTTGGACCTCTCAGCTGCATTCGACACTGTTGACCATGACATTTTATTGTCCCGCCTTGAGAATTTGGTCGGCATTAATGGATCTGCACTTGACTGGTTCTGCTCCTACTTTGACAACAGGTCTATTAGAGTTAGAATGGACGACTGTTCATCTCCCTCTACTGCTCTTCCTTGGGGCGTGCCACAGGGTTCTATCCTCGGCCCCCTTTTATTTAGCATTTATATTCTTCCACTGGGACAAATCTTTAGGAAGTTTAACATTAACTTTCATCTTTATGCGGACGACTGCCAGATTCATGCTCCACTGAAGACTTTTACCTCCATCCAGCCGCTCCTTGATTGCCTGAGTGAGGTTAAAGACTGGCTGTCAGCAAATTTTCTGCTGCTGAATGATTTTAAGACCGAGTTTATTGTTTTTACTCCTAATGGCTCGTCTTCCTCCGCTCCTGATTTTTCTGCTCTTCCTTTTAAAATTAGTCAAACAGTTGTTAACCTTGGAATTAAAAAGGACGTGGCTCTAAAAATGGACCCTCACGTTAATCACATGGTTAAATCATGTTTTTGTCAGCTGAGACGTCTTTCCAAACTAAAACCCATTCTGAATCGGCGCCACCTCGAGACAACCATTCACGCTTTCATCACCTCAAGGTTGGATTACTCTAATGCAATTCTGTTTGGCATTTCAAAAGCCGCATCATCTTGCCTTCAGCTGATACAAAATGCGACAGCAAGATTTCTGACCAATACGGGCCGTCGGGAGCACATCACTCCAATTTTAGCAAGACTTCACTGGCTTCCTGTGCACTACCGTATACGTTTAAAAATTTTATTATTTGTTTTTAAGGCGCTGAATGGCTTAGCACCACCTTACACATCCGAGTTACTCACTCCTTATGTGCCAGGCATGACTCTTCGTTCAGGTGACCTACACCTACTACAGATTCCCCGTCTACGCTGCAAAACCCATGGTGAACGAGCTTTTTCTGTCTGCGCTCCGAAACTCTGGAATGATCTCCCGCTGAATATCAGACTCTCATCCTCCATTGGAGTTTTAAAGTCTCACTTAAAGACTTACTTTTATTCCCTTGCTTTTACTCGTCGTCGTCGTCGTCTTCCTCCGCTTATCCGGGTCCGGGTCGCGGGGGCAGCATCCCAACTAGGGAGCTCCAGGCCGTCCTCTCCCCGGCCTTGTCCACCAGCTCCTCCGGCAGGACCCCAAGGCGTTCCCGGACCAGATTGGAGATGTAACCTCTCCAACGTGTCCTGGGTCGACCCGGGGGCCTTCTGCCGGCAGGACATGCCCGAAACACCTCCCCGGGGAGGCGTCCAGGAGGCATCCTGACCAGATGCCCAAACCACCTCAACTGGCTCCTTTCGATCCGGAGGAGCAGCGGTTCTACTCCGAGTCCCTCCCGAATGTCCGAGCTCCTCACCCTATCTCTAAGGCTGAGCCCGGCCACCCTACGGAGGAAACTCATTTCGGCCGCTTGTATCCGCGATCTTGTTCTTTCGGTCATTACCCAAAGCTCATGACCATAGGTGAGGATTGGGACGTAGATCGACCGGTAAATCGAGAGCCTGGCTTTCTGGCTCAGCTCCCTCTTCCCCACGACAGATCGGCTCAGCGTCCGCATCACTGCAGACGCCGAACCAATCCGCCTGTCGATCTCCCGATCCCTCCTACCCTCACTCGTGAACAAGACCCCGAGATACTTAAACTCCTCCACTTGAGGTAGGACCTCTCCCCCGACCCGGAGGTGGCAAGCCACCCTTTTCCGGTTGAGAAACATGGTCTCAGATTTGGAGGTGCTGATCCTCATCCCAGCCGCTTCACATTCGGCCGCGAACCTACCCAGCAAGAGCTGAAGGTCAGAGCTGGATGAAGCTAGGAGGACCACATCATCCGCAAAAAGCAGAGACGAGATTCTCCTGCCACCAAACTCGACACACTCCACACCACGGCTGCGTCTAGAAATTCTGTCCATAAAAGTGATGAACAGAACCGGTGACAAAGGGCAGCCCTGGCGGAGTCCAACCCTCACTGGGAACAGGTCCGACTTACTACCGGCTATGCGGACCAAACTCACGCTCCTCTGGTAAAGGGACTGAATGGCCCTTAACAGAAAGCCACCCACCCCATACTCCTGGAGCGTCCCCCACAGGGTGCCCCTGGGGACACGGTCATAAGCCTTCTCCAAATCCACAAAGCACATGTGGATTGGTTGGGCAAACTCCCATGCCCCCTCCATCACCCTTGCAAGGGTATAGAGCTGGTCCACAGTTCCACGGCCAGGACGAAAACCACATTGCTCCTCCTCTATCTGAGATTCAACTATCGATCGGACCCTCCTCTCCAGTACCTTGGAGTAGACCTTTCCAGGGAGGCTGAGGAGTGTGATCCCCCTATAGTTGGAACACACCCTCAGGTCACCCTTCTTAAAGATGGGGACCACCACCCCGGTCTGCCACTCCCTAGGAACTGCCCCAGATGACCACGCAATGTTGTAGAGACGTGTCAACCATGACAGCCCTACAACATCCATAGCCTTGAGATACCCAGGACGAACCTCATCCGCCCCCGGGGCTCCGCCGCTGTGTAGTTGTTTGACTACCTCAGCAACTTCTGCCCCCGAGATCGGACAGTCCATCCCCAGGCCTCCCAGCTCTGGTTCCTCCTCGGAATGCGCATTGGTGGGATTGAGGAGCTCCTCAAAGTATTACTTCCACCGTCCGACTATAGCCTCAGTTGACGTCAGCAGCTCCCCGTCCCCACTGTAAACAGTGTGAGCGAGTTGCTGCCTTCCTCTCCTGAGGCGCCGGACAGTTTGCCAGAACCTCTTTGGAACCGACCGATAGTCTTTCTCCATGGCCTCACCAAACTCCTCCCACGCCCGAGATTTTGCCTCGGCAACTGCCACTGCTGCACCCCGCTTGGCTATCCGTTACCTGTCTGCTGCCTCCGGAGACCCACTGACCAGCCACGCCCTGTAGGCCTCCTTCTTCAGCTTGACGGCTCCCCGAACCTCTGGTGTCCACCAGCGGGTACGGGGGTTGCCACCACGACTGGCACCGGCCACCTTACGACCACAGCTAGCAACAGCCGCCTCGACAATCGCAGAGTGGAACAAGGCCCACTCGGACTCAATGTCCCCCACTGCTCTCGGGACGTGGTCAAAGCTCTGCCGGAGGTGGGAGTTGAAGACCGTCTTGACAGGTTCTTCTGCCAGGCGTTCCCAGCAGACCCTCACTATGCGTTTGGGTCTGCCAGGTCTACGCGGCATGTTCCCTTGCCATCTGATCCAACTCACCACCAGGTGGTGATCAGTTGACAGCTCCGCCCCTCTCTTCACTCGGGTGTCCAAAACATACGGCCGCAGGTCAGATGATACGACTACAAAATCTATCATCGACCTGTGACCTAGGCTGCCCTGGTACCAAGTGTACCGGTGGGCATCCTTATGTTCGAACATGGTGTTCGTTATGGCCAAACTGCGGCTTGCACAGAAGTCCAATAACAAAACACTGCTCGAGTTCAGATTAGGTGGGCCGTTCCTCCCAATCACACCCCTCCAGGTCAAGCTGTCTTTGCCCACGTGAGCATTGAAGTCCCCCAGCAGGACAATGGAGTCCCCTGATGGAGCACTATCTAGCACTCGTCCCAGGGACTCCAAAAAGGGTGGGTACTCTGAACTGATATTTGGCCCATAAGCACAAACAACAGTCAGGACCCGTTCCCCGACCCGAAGGCACAAGGAAGCTACCCTCTTGTCCCCCGGGGTAAACCCCAACACACAGGCAGAGAGTCTCGGGGCTAACAAAAAGCCAACCCCAGCCCTCTGCCTCTCACCCGGAGCAACTCCAGCAAAGTAGAGTGTCCAACCCCTCTCCAGGTCTCGGGTTCCAGAGCCAATGCAATGTGTCGAGGTGAGTCCGACTATATCTAGCCGGTACCGCTCAACCTCTGCCACAAGCTCCGGCTCCTTCCCCGCCAGCGAGGTGACGTTCCATGTCCCAAAAACTAGTTTTCTTGTCCGGGGATTGGACCGCCAAGGCTCCCGCCTTGGTCTGCCACCCGATTCGCATTGCACCGGACCCTTCATGTTCCTCCTGCGGGTGGTGGGTCCACAGTTGGACGAGCCCAGGTATCCGGTTCGGGCTGGGCCCGGCCGGGCCCCATGGGCGAAAGCCCGGCCACCAGGCGCTCGCTCACGGGCCCCAACCCCAGGCCTAGCTCCAGGGTGGGACCCCGGTAACCCTCCGGGCCGGGTACTCCGACTCTTCGTTTTAACCGCCATGAAAGATCCTTCGAACCGTTCTTTGTCTCACCCTTCACCTAAGACCAATTTGTCATGGGAGACCCTACCAGCTATTTTATCGATGGTTTATTTACACCATTCTTTTACTGATTTTATTGACTTCTCTTGTTTAGTTCTTTGTGCTATGCTCTAGCTGTTTTAGTCTTTTATATTATTCGCTTAACCTTATATGTTTTAACCCCTGTACAGCACTTTGGTCAGCTCACATGCTGTTTTTAAATGTGCTTTATCAAATAAACGGAATGGAATGGTAATTGAGCTGATTTTCTTTTCTTTTTCTCTACAGAATATCAAAAAGAAAATGTATGGCTGCACAGAGGCCTTTCTGGCTGACACTAAATGGATTCTACACAACTGTATTATATACAATGGAGGTGTGTTGGATGTTGTGTTAAAACATTTAATTTTAACTATATTGGGTGGGTGTAAAAACAAGGAAAAACTAGATCTTAAATCCTTTGATTTAATGATATTTAAAAATTTCAGAATACAGACGTTTAAAATATTTACAGAAATGTCCATTTTCATACTTCCACAACTTTGAGTGGGGACCAATTTCACAATTAAATCGCAAAATCAAAGATTTTGCGATTTAATTTGATTTGTCCTACCTCATTTCGCTTGAGTAAACAGTCAATTGAGTCACAGTTTAGTCACAGTTTCTCTGTAGACAACACACTGTAGACCATGGACATAGTTTTTTTTTTGGAGGACGGGGGGACATGTCCCCCCCATCCAATTTTTCCAAAGTTAATTTTTGTCCCCTGCACTTTGTACCATCTAAAAACAATATTAAGCTATATTAAATAGACAGTGGCTGAGCACTAGCACCGAGCGGAAAACAACTGCTTGTGTTGAAGTCTGTTTCCCATTAGAACCATCCATAAGATCATTGCGATTGGCTGCTCCTGCCATCTGTACTTCACAGTTCTGCATACCTGACATTGCGTAAAAGAGCCTCTAGGCAGTTGTTTTATACATATTTACATATTTTTTGTATATTTACTTTAAAAGTCCCCCCCCCCCCCCCCCCCCCCCCCATTATTTTATTACGTAAAATAAATAAATAAAAATCTGAAGAAAAAGGTCCGGGAGAAATCCACAAAAATGAGGCCCTATTTGGCACTTACTCGAGTAAGATCAGATAGAACAAAATCAAGAACCATTCTTTTTAGAATAAATCACAAATATAACTCCACACAAAGGTGTAAATGTTTAAAGCTTACACTTTCAGCAAGCATTAGAACATCTGTATGCTGAAGCTCCAACATTTATGTAAAATATGTCAAAGGGTTTTTGAGCAAGCTGAAGTCAAATCAGATGGATAAATCATGATGCGACTGTTTTACGCATAACCCCAAAGTCAAAGAGAAGGAATTGAAGTTATGATGAGCAGCAGCTTTATTGTCTTTGACTAATTTTTCTTTAATAGGATCAGTTGTGGGAATGAATTATTTTTTCTCCTTTCAGCCAATCACAAACTCACAGCCACGGCTAAAGTGATAGTAAAAATCTGTGAGCATGAGGTGAGCTTGGGTCAGATATTCTACTTGAAGTTTAATTCATACTTTAGCCAAGGCTAAAATGTACCCAATGTTTTCTTTCTGTCTTTTTCTGTAGATGAATGAGATTGAAGTTTGTCCTGAATGCTATCTGTCTGCCTGCCAAAAGAGAGACAACTGGTTCTGTGAGCCTTGTGTAAGCTAGCTGAGTTATCTGAAGTTTCATGGCACCATTTGAAAATGCACCTTTTCTTAAAGAATCGTGTGAGTTCAACTTCTTACTGCATGTCTGTAGAGTAACCCACACCCTCTGGTATGGGCCAAATTAAAAGGATTTCCCTTCTGGCCGGCTAAAGCCTTGAGGGACAAAGACGGACAAGTGGATGCTCGTTTCTTTGGTCAGCACGACAGGTATCATGTTTTTTTAAACCCGTGCATTTAAAGTGGGGCATTCTCACAGGATAATGACTTTTTTAAAACAAAGATTTTTTTCCTGTGAAATTATGTGTTTCAATTTTTTTTTACTTAAAATAAACCAACAAAATTTTCATCTGTAAAAATTCAACAGCATAAATTTAACTTCAGAAATTCAAAAACCAATGAGGTGACTCCCTGGTGATCTAAGCCAAAGAAGTCGAGTGGCTTTTGGCCAATGAAATAACACTGCCTTGATCATGTGACACCAGTGCATTGGGCTAGGCCAGAGGTGCTTCTCTTAACCACAGACATAAAAATAGATACGACATGGAGTGGGGCCCATATTGGGCCCATTCCCAATACTCTTCAGCGAAGTGCACTTGGAGGAAGGGTGCAGTAAGGCTTCAAGTGTGTAGTACTCAAGTGTGAAAATAATTGCTGAATTGGGACAGTGACCTTTGCGTCATCAACCACAACACATGCCAGGATACCGGTTGCTGTTTGAGCTACTTTTTGAAACAAACAATTAACAAAATTGGCATTCCTTGCTGTTCACATTAAATCTTAGTCTAAAACATTCAGAGCTTGAATAAATATCATTAATCGTCTTAAAATGAACTTATTTCATTTGAAAATACATATTTTTAGAAAAGGCGCTTGAGCCATTATTCCACTGTCTCCTCAAAATTCCCACACAACAATGGATTATGGGTAATACCTTGCCCAAGTTTGCCTAGATGCAGACTTGGGCAAAGTGTGGATTAAGGGTGCAAAAGGGGCGTGGCCAACTCCAGTACTTGAAAATCAGGAAACCCCATGCACTCGCACCCCTGGACTGGAAAGGTACAATTGAAGGGTGCAAGGGTGGAAGTGCGAGTATTGGGATTGGGCCTTTGAGCTTGCATAGTAGCAAGCTGCCATCTTGGATGGGTCCTCAATCACTCCCACTGCATTTATTTCTACTGAGGAATGTGTTCATCCAACTAAAAAACACATATTATTATGATTTTTTAAAACGAAATCAATCATGTGGTATGGCATGATAATTAAAATATAAATATAATTAAACAAAATAAACATATTAAATGCCAACAGAGTCCTTAAAAAGTCCTACATGATTTGTTTTCAACTGAGCACTGGTTGTTGCAACGGTGAGCTGCTCACAAAACCATCATAGTTGCCCATCATCGTTGACTCCAGTTGGGTCTGAAGAGTGAGGAACCTACCCAATATGGCGGCAACGCCGCTACGTTCACCAGCTCCCAATGATGCGTCTACGTGCTCACATCTATGCTCTTAACAGTTTGCTGTCGTAATGAAGATGAGTGAGGAGTCATAGTTTATCATAAAGTTTTGTTGTTTTTTCATCAACACATTTTGGGTGAAATCACTGTCAGAGTCCCACAGATGGAATGAATGGAATGTGGCAGGTCCAGCATTTCTGCTTGTTCTGAATTGTTTTCTCTGGTAAGCTGATGCAAATACAACACTTTTGGAAGCCAAACAAGCCACATGATCAGAGAATCATAATTTGATTTATAGTTTTTTTGGCTTGGGTCACCAGGAGGTCACCTCATTTGCTGTTGAATTTCTGCTGTTGAATTTTTGCTGATGACATTTTGTAGTTGAATTTTTGAAGATGAAAATCAGCAGTTTTATTTTTACAGATGAAAGTTTTGCTGATGTGTTTTAAGTAAAAAAAAAAACACACGACTTCACAGAATAAAAACTCAACATCAAAAATTCAATGTAAAAAAAATCACATTCTAGATAGACTGTATTTCACCCATATGTTTCAGATTTTGTTGTTCATGATGTTTTTCTTTGTTTATTTTTTATCAGGGCTTGGGTTCCTTTGAACAACTGCTACCTCATGTCCAAAGAGATTCCCTTCTCCGTGAAGAAGACCAAAAGCATCTTCAACAGTGCCATGCAAGAGATGGAGGTCTACGTGGAGAACATGCGAGACAAGTTTGGAGTGTTTAATTATGCTCCCTTTAGGACACCCTACACAGCTGATAGTAACTTCCAGCTGCTCCTGGATCCCTCCAACCCCTCGTCCGCTGCCATTAAGCCAGAAAAACAGGAGAAGATCAAGCTGAGCTTTGATATGACAGCATCTCCCAAGACCTCACTGACCAGGACTGTGCCATCTGCAGCCGGGGTGGGAGGGAGCACTATAGGCCAAAGACCCCCTGTCAGTGATACGCCTCGTTCCCCCATGAGTACCAACTCCTCTATTCATACAGGTTCAGACGGGGAACAGGAAGCAGGAGACAAGTCTAAAAAAAAAGCTGCTAACGTCCAGTACAGCACAGGGGAGGAGTCTATGGACTGCACAGGTACTCTAACTCAGTGGTTTCCAACCTTTTGTCCATGAGAACCCCCTTGCCTGAATCTAAGGCAAGCCAAGGCCCCCACCTCCTACCCTCATTCACACATTTATCACAGACTTTTTACAAACATACAGAGTCATAACTCTTACACAGTTTTGATTATACTATTGGGTGTGTTATTGGGACTTTGTAAATTTTACAGATACAATCTTGGTAACCTCACAACCTCAGCACAGGCACTCTTGTTGGGACCCCCCTTGTGGAGTGGCAGACCCCGGAGATGGGAACCACTGCTCTAACTGACAGTGTGTCAAATTCCCCGTTGGGCTGTTTGATTATGAGGAAAAAATTACAGTCACAAATATCCAACAAAAATCACTGAGTTGGTAAACACGTCTATTTGCTTCTCCTCTTCAGCTGAAAACAAACCACAAATGTGATGCAGCTCATCAAAATAAGAGCATCAAGTAACACCTCAAACACACACACACACACACACACACACACACACACACACACACACACACACACACACACACACACACACACACACACACACACACACACACACACACACACACAACACACACACACACACACACACACAGATGTGCAAAGTGCACTAGAACGTACATTATTGTCTGTGTTCACTGCCAAAATTTTACATCCGAACATAGCTGTAGGTTTGAGTGGTATATGGTAAATTACTTGTATTTGTATTGCGCCTTCTTAGGGTTCACAGCACAATCAGTCATCTATCTATTCACACACACATTCACACACTGTTGAGGATGAGCTACGATGTAGCCACAGCTGCCTTGGTGCGCACTGACAGAGGCGAGACTTGCCGAACACTGACGCCACCGGTCCCTCTGATAACCACCAGCAGACAAGGTTGGCTAAGTGTCTTGCCCAAGGACACAACAGCAGCATTCTCTGGTGGGAGCCGGGATCGAACCTACAACCTTCTGATTACTGTACAACCCGCTCTACCTTAACTTTAGAAATATACACTTTGATTGTCTTTGTTTTAAAAGAAGAAAGTTTTATATTGCATGTTTTCTTTTCATGCAATTCCTAAAATATCCAGAGTTTACTTATTAAGAAGGCTGCAGACACAGATTTCTGTCAGCAAGAATCAATAGGATCAACCAATAGTAGACAGGGGCGGCTCTACTGATGTGGAATAGGGTGGCAACTGCCACTCCAAAAATTCTCACCTGCTGCCACCCCAGTGTGCAGCAATAAATTCAAGAAATAGAAATAGTTGTGGCAATTTTCATCTCTCCCTTTGTGAAGCTGTTAAATATATGTTGCCAAAGTTAAAATTTCCTAAAGATACTCCATATTGATGAACACTTGAATGTGGTGGATATCTGCTTGAATTCTAGTATGTTTCAGTCCCATTTTTCAAACGTTTGTTGACTCTTTTTACATGTCCTTAACCAAATCTTTTAAAGGCAACTCACAAGACAGCCCTAAATCTTCCCAATCTCAAGCACCTGGTGTTCTCAAGCAAGAGAAGATGCCACAGACAGCAAGCATTCTTAACCTAAATTTAGGTAAATGTTTTAGACTTTTTAAATAGAAATACCATATTGGGAATAAACAGGATTGTTATAATTATGAGTAAATCTGAAATGAGCTGTTTCTCTCTTCAGAAGTCTTCATTGTTTGAATCTTTTTCAGATCGAAGTAAAGCTGAAATGGACCTGAAGGAGCTGAGTGAAACAGTCCAGCAGAAACAGGGAGCCACACCAGTCCTCACCTCCCCAAAAAGGCAGATTAAGAGCCGCTTCCAGCTAAACTTGGACAAGACTATTAAAAGTTGCATAGCTCAGTTGGGTTAGTCCAGACAAATTTATTACTGCAATTTCTCAAATCGTTTTTTATTTAATGCTGATATCTCAAAGTTGTATTAGCAGAAAGTTTCTACTCAAAACAACTTAAAATATCAAGAATTCAGTTTGTGAGGCAATAGCAGGACCAACTTCAGTCAGCAAGTGGCAAAGTAGTGCTATTTAGTGGTGATTAAACCCTGTGAGAGTACAACTACCAAAATTACTTCTATCACTCTATAAAAGTATAAAAATGCCTAAAATCACATCTATTCAGAATAAGAATAACACTGTTTTTCAGACATTTAGACATTAAAACACATGTAGATATAAACTAATACAACTTTATAACTTGATCAGTCAGTACATATCAAAGGATGTTTGTTCAGGAGTGTTGCTTGGAAACAGAAACATAAGTCCTATTTTCTCGGTCTGTTTTGCCGTCTTTCTGTGATGCTATTAAATGCCGCCATAGAAAGCACGTAAATTTAGCCTTTGTGAGTGTGTGTGTGTGAGACAGTCTCTCTTTGGTTTTCAGGTATTGATGAGATCTCCGTGGATGCCTATAAAGGTGAGGATCACAGTGACTCAGACGACTCTGATAAGTCTGACTCCAGTGAGAGTGAGGATGCCAGTGATGAGGAGCCCAAGATAAAGAGTAGTCAAAACACAGAACTCAATAAAAAGCCTTCGAATGACTCTTCTAAAGTCAAGGAGAAAGATCATCCCTCCACGAGCCAAGAGGAGGAGGATAAAGCTGATGTCGTTGAATCCAAGGAATCTGCCGTTGATGATTCCAGTGCAACACTACCAGATGGTCCAACTCAAGAGAATTTAACCATGGATTTAGAAAAAGAAAACTCAGATGAGACCAAAGCAGCTCCAGGATCACCTGTTTCCAGAGAAAAGTCTCAGATCAAACAAGAGACAAGGCAGGCTGTAACTGCCGAGGACTCTGACTCTGACCGAGAGCTGGTTATTGATCTGGGAGAGGAACAGGGCGGCAAGGAGAGGAAGAGGAGCAGAAAAGATAGCACAGTTTATAACGATTCAGCAGCGGGGAAACCTGAAGGTGAGAATTCCTGCTGTTCCCGGGGAAGTAACCAAACACACGTTTAGTATTCATCATGCAAAATTACACTTGTAAGTTTTCAAACAAACAAAATGGTTACAAGATAAGGAAATAACAATGTGATGTTTTATTTTTTGTAGGTAAAGCACTGAGCACACCACAAAACAGCACTACCACTTCCACACCTCCCAGTGTTTCCACTCAGCCTCTCATGGCCATTCCTGTCACCATGGTTACATTTACCGCATCCTCTCCTGCAACAGTTAGCCATGTGTCCATCTCCAGTGCCACTGTAACAACGTCTTCCTCCTCAGCCTCCCCCACGCCTACTTTGAAAAAACAGCGTCCTCTGCTGCCCAGAGAGACTGTGCCAGTGGTCCAGCGAGCTGTTGTGTGGAACCCCACCACAAAGTTTGAACCTTCTTCCCAAAAGTGGCAAATGCAGAAGGTGCAGCAGCAGGCTCAGCAGCTTGTGGTGGTCCCACACACACAGGAAGCTCAAGGAGCAGCAAACGGCTCCACAACTGTCTCACTATCTTCAGAGAAGCAGTCATCTCAAAGCACACGCTATCAGACCAGACAAGCCGCTAAGGGTAACCAGAAGTCTTCCAATTCAAAACTCCTCTCTGTGTTTGCATCAATCCTAATGTTGCAGGCATTCTCTATTCTAGGTGTTCAACATAAAGACTCTGCACTCAGCACATCTCTTCCAGCTGCTACCGTGGTAACCAGCAGTCTAGGCTCTGTGTCCATGACAGTAACTTCAGGTACAGGCACAGCTCCTGCTTCGTCCCCAGGAACAACAGACCTGTACATCCCCACAGCTTCAGCTGATGTGGCTGCAGATATCGCCAAGTACACTAATAAAGTTAGTTACGTGTTTAATGGGCTTTGTGACTGACTTCAGCACCCACAGACCCTTTTTAGGGAATGATTATTTTGTGTCTAATATTTTGAAATTTGTTGTTTTTAAAGCTTTCAAAACTCTGCATCATTTTTAACACTTCATGTAAAAATGATCCGCATCATTTTGTGAACATCAGTCATGACATAGACATTTTTCACGATACGTTTTAGTAGCATAACGTTGTCTGTTCTTTTAGATAATGGATGCAATCAAAGGTACAATGACTGAAATCTACAATGACCTCTCAAAGAATACTTCAGGGAATACAATAGCAGAGGTTTGTGTGTTCTTTGGTTTTTTAAAAAGAAATCACCTGTGAATGAATCTTTTCTCACACTTGTATGTTTTCTACAGATGAAACGACTAAGAATTGAAGTAGAAAAGTTACAGTGGTTGCATCAGCAAGAGTTGTCAGAAATGAAGCACAATCTTGGTGAGAACCAGAATAGCAAAGTCTTCTTGTCCACATCACATGTTCTTGTTGTTATGGATGCTTGCCTTGCAGAGCTGACGATGGCAGAGATGCGGCAGAGTCTGGAACAGGAAAGGGAGAGGTTGCTGGCCGAGGTGAAGAAACAGATGGAGCTGGAGAAACAGCAGGCGGTGGATGAGACAAAGAAGAAACAGTGGTGTGCTAACTGCAGGAAAGAGGCCATCTTTTACTGCTGCTGGAACACCAGCTACTGCGATTACCCCTGTCAGCAAGCCCACTGGCCAGAGCACATGAAGTCCTGCACCCAGTCAGGTAACAAGAGCAACATGTCACACCTAAAAAAACACTACATCCATGTGATATCCTTACAGCTGTCAGGTGTTTATACCTTTTGTTCTGCCTTTAGCTACAGCCCCACAGCAAGAACCTGAGGCTGAGCCAGCAGCTGATCTCCCAAACAACAAGGGTCAAGGGCAGACTGTCGGTGGCCCTAACCCTCTCAGAGAAGCGCCAGTTTCAGCATCTTCAGACAAAGATTGTGAATCAGAGAAGAGCATTAGCAACACAGCTGGAACTTTATCATAACATATATTTAAATGTAATTTTATTTAGTGTTTTTGTTTTTCCACAAAATGTGTTTATTTGAGTTATTTTGTTCTATAACCTGTTCCAAAATACTTTATTTAAATATTTTTTTTATTTTGCCTGTCAGGGTTTACCTATCTCCAGTGCAAAGTAACACTGAAAGTAGACAGACTCTAGAGAGCGACATATTCATAAAACAGATTTTGCATACCCTTGCACTATTCTATACAGACGTCTGTGTTAAAGAAACTAAATGGTAAATGGTAAAATGGCCTGTATTTGATATAGCGCCTTCTAGAGTCCTGGAACCCCTCAAGACGCTTTACAACACAATCAGTCATTCACCCAGTCACACACACATTCACACACTGGTGGGGATGAGCTACGATGTAGCCACAGCTGCCCTGGGGGGCACTGACAGAGGCGAGGCTGCCGAGCACTGGCACCACCAGTCCCTCCGACCACCACCAGCAGGCAACGTGGGTTAAGTGTCTTGCCCAAGGACACAACGACAACGACAGACTGAGCGGGGCTCGAACTTGCAACCTTCCGATTACGGGGCGAGCACTTAACTCCTTTGCCACCGTCGCCCACTAAGCCCATGCAAGGATGTCATGAAACAAACACAATGTTCAGTGGGAGTTAGACAGTTTACACAAACATGGCTGATTATGATGTTGAATAGAGGACTACTGGCAGCACTGGATGTACATGACACATTTTGTATCATTTGTTAATTAGTGTTTTTTATGTCTGATGTATATGTCAAAGAAAATTATAAATACATTTTTAAGCAAGTGGGTTTAATGATTATATCAACATTAATTTAGTCATTGTAGATTAGTGTTATACACTGGAACGATGCAAATGTTGCCTTATACCTAAAGACTAATTTAAAATAATCATGAAATACAAACATATAGAGATAAAAAAAATGACAAATTAGGAATGATACATGTAGGGGAGGAAAATGTGGTCCAATCATAGCTGAACAAGCTAGTGCATCAGTGAATACAGAGTAAATACGATTTGAATCAAAAGGAAGCGGTTGTGTACTTCACTGGTTTTCACTGTCCATAGATGCTGCCTTTGTAAATCGTTTTGCTGGGTTTTAAAATAAGTGTACCCAGTTCCTCTGAAACATCTTTTTAATTATATTATTTTTAATCATAAAAGGTCAGTTTGTACAAGCGCAACTTTCTGGTCGTTTGAATTTATAAAGGTATCCATATAAGAAAGCAGGCTCAGTTCACCTCCCGGCCAGCGGGGGCGCTGTAAGTAAATATTTTGTGTATCCGTCAGCCATCTGCCGCAGTCAGTTGGATCCAACGGGATTGGAAAATGGAGGACTGACCGAAACGAGGGCATGTCGTCGCTTTTTTAGTATTTAGGTGGGTAGAAAAGTAGCATGTAATTAAGTTGTGTACCATGTAAAGTTTAGAGAATGCGAATGTGTTCGGTGTTTGCAGTAATTTGTAGGCCTGGATAAGGATAATGAAGATGCCCATGACTGACGCAAACGGGTTTCATTTTAAGCATCTGCGTCGTAAATGTATTTTCGATTGCGCACTTTGATCCAGAAATGCTTGTGCTGGTAAATAAATGCATGCAGTTCATATTTTAAGCGTCAAATGCGTATATCGAAGACTAAATGACTGGTAACGGTTTCACCAAAAATGTGGCCTTTAGCTGCTAACAAGATTAGCTTGTCCTGTGGTTCGCAACGCTTAGCTCCACGTTGTGAGACGGAGCCACACATTACGACAAACGATGAGCAATGAGTCGAACATGTTTTTATCATCACTCAATTGTGTTAAAAAGAACTGTTCCTATGTGTGATTGGATGTTTGTGCTTCATTTGGGTTGTTGATGTAAATGTTTGGCGGCGCAATGTTTTAAGGCTAACCTCTGGCAGCGCGTGGGAAAAATATGATTTACTTAAGCATTCTGAATACATTTTAGCAAATACACTAACGTGCGTGGTTTACTAATGGAAAGTTGATCACGTGATTGTGGTTTATTGCACGATTGTCGCTGGGATTTTGTAGGCCGTCCGCAGCTTTCCGTCCTAAATCTACGATTTAAACCCCCCCCCCCCCCCCTTCTGCCGCAGTGATCAAACCGGATTAAACACCACCTCGACTCGTTTATGCTTATGGGAATACTCCGTTATCGTCCTAAATTAGGTTTTAGTTCGGACCCCTCCCGCCCTTCTGTTGTCCTCCTATTCACGTGGCACGAAGTCGTGACCACACTTAAATCGATCTCTGCATCATCGACGTGTTAAACTTGCTGCTTGTGAACCAAACGTAAACAATCACTAAACACGACTGGTCAGAAACACACGGGTGCTAGCTGATGGGTGCTATTTCGTTTTTACAGAGATCCTAACAAGGAAAACATAGTAGTTGTTAGGGTCCTCACTAGTGTACGTTTGTGTTTCCTCTTTGACAGGTTCCTGAACCTAAAACTATTAACTGAAATTGAAGAGCCTTTTAGTTTGAAGAGGCACCTCCTGACAAATCCTTTCCGCTTGCAGGTATGTACACTTTATTTATATGCAATTATAGTTATATAAATCGTAGGGATGTAGTCATGTCGAATTTAAAGTTCACATTTTCATAATCCTGTGCACGAAAAAACGCTAATTTCCATGGTTTCAACCGGAAGTATATTTCGGCTAGTATTATGCTAGTGAAAATGCGTAAATGAGAGGAAAAATTAAGATATTGTAAAATTTTGCTTTGACATTTCTGCTGGTGTGTGCGTGTGAACCTACACCCCACCCCTTTGATCAAAATAAATGAAAGTAAAGCGATTTAGCTGCTAGAAACAGGTGGATAGCAGCACAGCTGACTCTGTTTTTCTACTTCTATAGTTGCATAAATTAATATAACTGGAGTTGGTGTAGCAATGCAGCCCCTAAATAATGCTAAATAACTAATAATAATAATTGATGATCAGTCGTGGTGTCACTGAAATCACCAACGGTTAGTTTCACTTAAACGTCTTTAAAGGAACCTGTATAATAACACGTTTGAGTCACTCCGAAACTATCGGGTATTGTGCTAGTGATTCATACGAAATATTTGGCGAAATGGAGAACTTCAGTGGAAGATGATGCTTTGTTTGGGGGCTGCACTGCTGCCACAACAACTTCCATTACGAATATACGCCGATCGTAGATGGATATTTCTTATTTTTCTTGCATAGTATAAATAAGGTCCAGGTAGCAAAAAACAAAACAAAAAAGGAACTATAGTTACTGTTTATTGGTAATACTATGGTGTTTTCACACCCCTTTTAGTCACGTTCGCACTAGTAAGCACAGTCCGTTGTGTGCTCACCTTCATAGTTGTGCACATACAGGGATATGTACAATTTGAATCTGTTTTCTCGTTTGCTTTGTGGAGCAAATGATAGTGTCGACAATGCGATGAACGTCATTGAAAAGTACAGTTTACTGCATGCACTGCCCATGTTGTCATCACTGTGTAGGGGAATGGATGTACCATGGGTCTTCGGAGTTATCAACCAGAACTATGCATTTGCTATTGTGCTCAGGGTCTATTATGCTGCACCAGCAAAAGTGTATGAATATTTTTGTATAACTAAGTTATAGTTTCAGAAACTAGATCCCTTTTCTTTTTTTTTTAACTCAGAAGTTTTTTTCATCAAGTTTTTTGTGAATACATTTTTTTGCCATAGAAACTATGCATTTTTTTAGGGATGCTCCAAAATTGTCTAGTATTTTCATTCCATGTGGAATTTTTAACTCCGGGGGTCATACTTTTCAGTTAAATCTAATATAGTTGTTAATAAAAGCTATTTGAGGTAAATTGGATTCAGCAGGTTAAAGCTGCATGAGAATCGATCAGTTTTAGCTTTCAGCACCAAAATCGACACATTTCTACAAATCGTGCATGGCAGCATTACATCATTTGATGCAGATTTGCCAAAGTGAGCATGTGTTGAGTTCTCCAAACAATGTGTTGCTAATATTAGGAGTGAGGGTTCTTTAGACTCCTCACTAGTTGATTCAGTTGATGATCGGAGGATTCTGATGCAAATAAAAAATGAAGATGGATTTTTCTGCCTCCCCCACCTCTTTGTGAATTCTCAAAGACTTTTTATGAATGAAACAGAAAAAGTCATTCATCAAAACACTTGTTTTATTCTTAGACAGAATAATGTGTATTTTAGTAGTATTGTGACTTGATTCACTGAACTAAAGTAGCAGAAGAGGGATAATGTTGCATTAGCAGTTTTTACAGGACCATAGCTTTTGCAAAACGAGATTTGCCCTGGGGAGGATTTTGGCATTTATAGTAGGGATGCACCGATGGATCGGCATTTGATCCCAATCGGCCGATAGCGCCCCTATCGGTTTTGCTCGGAGTTTTCAAAAATAGATCAAAGCAGACCGATCAGGTAGGGTTGTCACGGTAACCGGTGTAGCGGTAAACCCCGGTAAAAAAAGTTGACAATAATAACCGTCTTGTTTTAAAAAAACTATATTATCTCGGTGGGTTTACCGTAGGCGCGGTGATCCTTACCAGCCACCGTATCATCTGCTGAAGTTGCCGGCGGCACATGCGCGCTTTATTGTTTACAACCAAAACTTTCTTGAAGCTAAAGCTGAAATAATGGCCAAAGGAGGAGACGGCAGTTCTCAGGAGGACATTTTTTATCCCTCAAAGAAGACAAAGTCGGAAGTACGGGCATCTTTTGGATATTTGAAGAATGCCGAGGGACAGTTTATAGAAGACGGCTATCCTGTTTGCAGCACGTGCAGAAAAAGTGTCTGTGAAAGGCAGCAACGCTTCAAATCTCATGACACATCTGCGTGACCATTACCCACAACTCTACAGTCAACGCAAGGCAAGCTAACGTTAGCGTTTTGGCTAAAATGCGTGATCCGAGGATTTGGGTTGAGGGAGAATGCAACGAGTCGCTATATAAAGCAGCCGCAGCGCCGCTACCTGCATATAAACCGTGTCACGGACACCCCCATATTGAAATGACGCTATGCATTACGGGGCTCCCAGGGGCAGATAAGAGTTGGTCTCTCTCCGAGAATAATTATGAATTTAACAATGATTACTGCCTGATGACATTTTCCCAAATCTGCAAAGCTCACTGGAAGGACACAAACCGAGGACAATATTTTCCTGATATAGGGTTTATTACTCAAGTAAGGGTAAAAAAGTATCTGATTAGAAGGCTACTTGAGTACTGAGTATCATCTAATCTAATATTTTTAAAATGATGACAACAGACATAAAATAAGAAGTTATGGGCAAATATTGGTATTTTAAAGACTAATGGGAAAAAATGTAAACAAATAAACAACATAATTACAAAATAACACATTTTAGGCAAAATTTAGACACAAACTGAGGACAATATTTCCTGACATACAGGGTTTATTTAATTGTGTGAAAATTTAGCACGTTTAAAAAAAATACTGCAATAATACCGAAAACCGTGGTAATTTTGGTCACAATAACCATGAGGTTAAATTTTCACACCGTGACAACCTTAATACAGACCATTTTAGATTAGGTTACATTTCCTTTATTCCCAGGTTATGTAGTTTGTAGCACTCATTATAATGTTGTAGAAAATTTCTGGCCAATCCACGTGATCGGTATCGGTGATCAGCATTCTTTGATATCGGTATCGGTGATCGGCAGCAAAAAAAACCTGATCGGTGCATCCCTAATCTATAGTAGCAAAGCTGAGGCTAGAATAAACTGCCATCAGGCACCTCTCAAACCAAGACGGGATAAAGACCAAGACGGGATAAAGGAGGTCGCTGGTCAGCCCCCCCGCATGTGACGTACAGGGTCACACATTCAGCGTCAGACGGAAGACATGTCAGACTGATGACATTTCTTTTTCAGGACCTTTAGCTTTGATGTGACCTGCTTCTTGTCCCGCTTGACTCAGCTCAGCCAGTGTTTTCACCACTCTGTCAAACAGCCGGCTGTCTGTCACCGTCCCCGTAAAAAGTCGACTAATCTGTTCGTCCGCTCGCACGACCAAAAGCTCCATGGTCTCCGCGTCCGTCCAGTTTGCCATGTTGTAGGTGGTTGAAAGATACTCATGAGAGTCCATGTTTATCTGTGTTTATATCCCTTCCGGCCGGCATTTAGCACGCAGTATACGTCACTAACGCGACCACCCTCTTTTGCGGTCGGGGGCTCCCACAGTCGCTCCAAAGGGATTAGCGGGGCTGACAAGCGTTAAGCCGTCAAAGGCGAGGGGCTCATGCAGCAATATTACTACGAGGCTAAGCGCATCAGAATCGAGTTTTATTACCTTTCCCCTTTGCTCCTTGCCGCATTTACTAGACCCACAAATTTGAATTTATCACTCTGTAATGGTATGTCTTATAAAAGAGGCTATTGAGCGAGAGACACACAAGCTGCATACTTCCATAGAGGAAAACCATTATTTGACAGAACACTGTACTAACTCGGCCGTCACTGCTTGTGTTGAAATGTCCACAATAGGGTGGACTGTTTCTGCGGACCTGACTCGTGCTCTCTGCTTTTTGCACACAGGCAGAACTTATTTATGTGCTCCCATCAACAGTCCTCGTGCTCACTTTGGTACTTTAACATTCTTCACCATTGAGTTTTTAATTGCCTTTGAAAAAAAAGTGATTTTGAATATTTTGGTGGAATGATCCCGGGAAAAAAAGTATAAATTAGAAATCAAACCACATACATAAAATAAGCCTTAGATAATCAGTGTTTTTTTGCAGATGGGTCACTTTTGTATTAAATTTTTTTACACGTTTAAGTCAGTTTTTGCATTTCTTCAGAAGTTGTAAACATACATTTTTGTAAGATAACTTTTCCTGTCTTATGTTCTTGGATCAGAAAGATCTGACTATTTAAAGCAGTTTAAAGGGACACAATTACACTGATTTCCATTACACTCCTTTTTACTGCAGCATTATTAATTAAAAGGCCTTACAGATGCATAATCATCATCATAGAGTATGTAAATGTCCCAAAGAAATGAAGCGTCCCCAGCTCTGTCTATAGTCTGGCTGCTCTCAGTAACCCAGTGACAGTAGCCGCTCTTATTTTTAAAGAGTCCCCTATGTCTGGTTCTGGTGGAGTTGATTTAGTTTTCCAACTGCACTTCAGTGATTGGCTGTCATGACTTTTGTTCACAGGCTTTGGTAAGGGGCAGAAGGAACAGTTTCAAACACAGAGCAAGAATGTGGCCAAAGAGTTGCTAAAGCAGCCGGTAAAATAGTCTTCACACCAAAAGTGACATAAAGAAGATTTTGGGCTTCCGTCGGTCAACTGTCAAAAAGAGAGATGCCAGTGGAGGCAGCAACCGACAGTCCAGAAAGCCGCTGTCCAGTGCGGCGCAGTGGCAGACAGCCCAAGAGAACCGACAAGCTTGAAGAATTTCTCTTGACTGCAAAAAGAGGGTCAAGAAAGAGCGCTCCTCCCAGTGTGGAAAGCGGAGACCCTCCTTCGCAAACTCCAACCGATGCAGAAACGGCCTCCGAGGCCAGTTTTGATGGCAGTGCCGACTCCAAGGCTGTAGAGGACAAACCGGAGTCCCCTGAGAGGAGGACAAGAAGCAGCACCAAAAAGCAGACTCAAAAGAAAACCCACGGAGGGAGACAAACGAGAAGCTCTGGCAGAGTGACTGTTAAAGATGAGAGCTCTGAGAATGATGACGACAGTAAAGATGCTGTCAGAAAGGATCAGTTACTGGATAACAGCAAAGAAAACCAGGATAAAAAGAACTATGCTAGTTCTGAAGATTCAGGGATCAAAAATGCTAAGCATTCTGAGCAGAACCCTGGGACAAAAGTTATGTCTGAGGACAAAAATCAACCTGAATTAAATGACAAAGATGAAATGGAGGACATGGATGAAGACAACCCCTCGATGACGGAAACTCGTAAACCAGTAAGAACTTATGTTAATAAAAAGAGAGCAGCTAAAACACCCGTTAAAGCCCCCATTCCTGCCGCCAACTCTGCCGCTCCCGCTAAGACTGAAACAAAACCCAAAGTTATTGGAAAGGCAAGCAAGCCTGAGATGCAGGATAAAAATGACGATGATGAAGAAGCGGATGATTCTTTTACATCTTCATCCTCGTCATCATCAGATGAGTCTGATGATGCAGGCTACGACCCCAATGCCCTCTACTGCATCTGTCGTCAGAAACACAACAAGCGGTATGTAACAGTTAATCATTTTATAAAAGGTGCTTCATCATTTTATTCCCAGATTAAACTCGAGTCATCATTTTGGACATCTGTTGTTCCGTGTTGCATAAGAAAAGCTGATTTTTGATTTGGTCCACCGTTCACTAGGTTCATGATCTGCTGTGACCGCTGTGAGGAGTGGTTTCATGGGGACTGCGTTGGCATCACGGAGGCCCGGGGGCGCCTGATGGAGAGGAACGGGGAAGACTACATCTGTCCCAATTGCACTGCAAAGAAAAACCAGGTCGTCCGGCCGGCTACGTCTGGCCTCACTCCAAACACGGAGGTTGTAAAGCCGAAAAGTGATGATGCTGCTGCGGCGACAACTTTAACATCTTCTGAGAAAGCCACCAGCAGTGGGACGAAGCCAAATCCATCAGCTGTCCTGGCTGTGGCGCAACCATCCATAACAAGTGGAACTGAAGAAAAGGGAACCGAGGATCTGGGCATCAAGGGGAGGATAGAGAAGGCTATTAATCCAACTGGGAAGAAGAAGATCAAGATCTTTCAGCCGGTAAGTTCCTTCAACTCGAGTCAAACTTGCAATGAATCACAATCTTATTTATGTGTTTGTCATGTAATTGTTTTAGCTATGTAGTCACCTATAGATTCTTTATATACTAAATTGTGCTCACGTGTATGCACACAGTTTCTCCGTTTAATGACATTATCCTCCATTATTTGTTAATTATGTTCTGCGCCGACTTGAAGCAGGTTGCTCAGCAGCCAGTTGAGGCCAAAGCAAACCAGAAGGTGGCACCAGCTGTGGAGACAAAGGTCCCATCAACAGCTCCACCAGAAATGGAGCAGAGAGTCGCAACAGTGGTGGAGGTGAAAACGACACCAGCTGTGGAAGCATCCGAGAACCAGAGCGAGCAGATGGCCGAAGACGCTTCCCTTCCCAAATGCATCGGGCCTGGCTGTGAGAGTAACGCCCAGCCAGACTCTGTGTACTGTGGAAATGACTGCATCCTGAAACACGCTGCAGCAGCCATGAAGTCCATCACGGATGTCAAAGATCCCAAAGACAAGACCAAGGCTCAGACAAAGGTAACCTGGACTGTTTTTGGAGATAATGTGCATTTTGTTGGGGTTGTTTTCTTGTATTTGCCCTAGCCTGGTTTGACTATTAAAGATTAGTGCTTGACTTTATACCTACAAAATGTGAAAGGAGAACAGTCTTGTTATTATTCACTTGAAGCAGGTTTTATTGAAGGTTTGTGGAGCCTTTCATGTTGTTCTGAACTTCTCCAAAGTGGATTCCTGAAAAGTAACAATGTCATTTTTGAAATTCACATTACGTCAATGTTTGAGTTTCTGGCTTAAGAGCATTTGCAGAGAAGTCATCTGAAAAGTGGCAAAAGAGCAGATAAAACTGACCATTCTTCTGGACAGAGTAAAATACAGCACACAAAAAGCATCCCTCTGCACCCTATCAGAGTCCAGTGTTCAGTGGGAATATCCCATGAGCAGATTAGCTAAAAACCTGTGATAGGAGGGTTTCCGTGTTTTTAATTTGCTGACAGTTTAACATAATAAAACCATTATTTTCTCTTCTTTTAAAAACAATTAAAATCAGTAAGAATTTTGCATTCAGACTTTTAGAATGTTGCACCTTTTTTCATGCTAACATTTAGTTCATATTTCAAAACTCCGATTAAAGTTAAGTGGTGACTGGAAACGAGATTGTGGACATTTGAAACAATAAGTGCTTGGCCATGCTCATTTTTAATTGAGAGAAGGCTGGAGCACACAGATCAGTACGAAAATGTTTTATTAAGGCAAGATGAATTTCGACACCAAATAAATTTAATTTGTTGAAGTCTTCACTCAGCTCCAGCCTTCTTCTCTCATTGACTGGACTGGGTTCTAGTTCACTTGCTTTTTATTCTGTAAGACAAAAAAACCTATTAACACTTTTGTACCCAGCGTTTTTTGTTTCAGACTGTTGAGTATTTACTGTAAACATGAACATCCTTTCTCAAACGAAGTGATGATTTTTCTGTGTGCTCTGTGTTCTAATTGTCATGTTGGAAAATTGCATTTAGGTTCTGCTAAAATAATCTGCAAGACTAAACTTGTATAACTTTAAATGTATTTTTACGCCATGATTAAATTATTTGAGCCATTTTTTTTTCTTTTTACCTTGTTCTGAGCTGCTTTTAAAGCCATTTCGGAACTGGTACAACCTTAGAAATTTTGCCTATGATGACTTAAATTATATTTATCCAGTCTGTTCATGCACACACATGCACATTTCTGTGTGTTGGGGGTCCAACTTTAACTAAAATAAAATATATAAGTATACATTTATATGCTTTTACAGGTGTTTTATGTAAAAATTGTACAAAATTGAGTTTGAGGATATGTAGAAATCAGGTCTATTACAGTTAACTGGCTAATACATTAAGTCGAAATAAATCATATTAAGACATACTAAATGTGGATGAATAAAATTTAAAGTGGACGCTGTAGCTCTGATCAAAGTTTAAACCACGCAGCAAACCACTTTTCTGAGCTCCGATGAGATTTTTTTTATTGAGATTGGTGGTGGGAGCCCTTGGGGCTTGAATATGGAACCGGGACAGAACCTGATGTTCTCAGCAAACAGAACTCTTTAAGTTTGTTGCTGTCAAACAGAGAGCAACAGAGGCTACGGTTCACTTGAGTCCTTATTAGCAGTGCGGATGGCCCACTGAGCCTTTTCCAGTGCTTCCTGTTCCAATGCATTCTGGGATTTGCAGTTATAGTGGGGTTAGAATTGGACACCTGCAGGTAGATTTTAGATGAGTTATTCTGAAAGCCAGATAAAATAATGGCTGTGTGAATAACACAAGTGCTGCTGATCTTTAAAGATCAGCCTTCTGAACAGCTGCCTTAAGATCAGTCAGCAAGTTACTGAACAGTTAGCAGTGCTGGTCTGTTGATAGACCCTGGCTGTTATTTCTTTCTGAAACGTTGGAAAACAAAACAGTAATTTAGAGTTGAGTCAAGTTATTTTTAGCGTGATTAAAGCTTATTTGCTAATTAAAATACCTGAATTTGTGTGTGTTTCATCATCCCAGAAGAGCAGCGCCGGTGGAGCGACGGGGCAAAAGACGGACAAGAGTGCCTCGGACTGCGAAAAACACCTCGGTCTTGATGTAGAGAAGGACGAAGAGGAGCATGCTGAGGAGCAGCGACCTCCACCTTCCACTGCTTCCTGGTCCAGCGACCATAATTACATTGCAGCAACACCAGAAAAGACTACACCCATGTCACCAACAGTGTTAAACAAAAAATGTATGTATCTCTTTGAAGGTTTTGAGCTGCTGTTGAAACCACGTTGTTGTCCTCCTCATCCCTACCCCCTTCTATATGTGGTTGTCGTCACGCTGGTCTCATTTAAAAGTAATCCATACATTTGGGATGAACTGACCCGTACAGTTGACCCGTGGTTTTAACTCTGTAAAGACTTTGTTGTTCTATGAATTACTGGCAGCTGTCAAACAGGTAAGTGTTGGTTCTGGCTTCTGGTGAGTATTTACAGATGTAGGAGCTTTTAATTTGAAAATACTGGAACATAAATGACTTCCTTTAGTTGGTTGAAGTGTATGGGAGCCTGATGGTAATTCCCAGGTACTCCTGCTTATGATTTAAATATAAAAACGTTTTTTAAACTAAAATTTAAAATAAGTAGCTTTTAAAAAGCAAGTTAGTTTGTAGTTTCTGAAGGAAATGCAGGATCAAAGTGCCTCAAGCTGCTTTTGAGTTCCAGACAGAACAAAATCCCTGCAGTAACTTTTGTGCATATTTCTGTTGAGGTTTCAGTCTCTGTAGAAACCTTCAAAATCCATTGAGGGTAAGAAGCAGGATTGTGTGGATTCAATGAATGAAACAGTTGTGTAAATGAGTGTTTAGAGTTTTTAAACTACAAGACTCATTTGCCTCAAGTTTCATCACTTCCTGGGTTTGTTGGCTGTTCTCAAAGGTCCTTCTCTCCCACAGGTAGGTGTCCGAATAGTCCTCAAAGTAAATGAGGTTAGGTGATAAATGTGACTCATATTGAGCTGATGATAAAATGTTTGCCCTTAATTTTGGGTTTTTTACTGTTTTTAATATTTTCATTCACATTGATTATGATTTATCAGTATTTTTTAAGAAAGTGGCTTTAAAAATAAAAGGTGAAAACAGATTTTTGGATGCCTCCATTGATTGATTCTGAGCGATGTTGGCTTGCCATTGGATGGAGTATTTTGGCTGCAAATGATCCATTTCACCTGTTGATTTCTGCTCATCATGGAGATCTGAGCTGTGGAGTGCAGCTGAACCAGGACCCAAAACCTCTAGACAAGACCCAGAAGACTTGAGGGGGTGCATGTAGTTGCAGAAGAAAAAAGACTGAAGAGCACAAGAAGAAGATGGCAAAACGAACCCTGATGACTTAAAAATATTTTTTACTCAATGAGATTTGATGCTTAAGAGGAAAGGTCTTTAACCATGAAAAGATTGAGGTCAGGAAGTAAGAGTAGTGTAAATGCATTGTGACAGATCAGGATGTTCTCTGATGGTGGTGTTCGCTGCAGCAGAGCACACCTGATACCATGTGACAAATGATAAACGGACAGCAGCTGATGTTGGTTTCAGGGGTTATGTTGGGTCTTTACATGATTAGGTCGGGGTTATTCTGCTTATGCAGCTAGAAACTATCAGGCAGACATCTACATAGTTCACACTACTTTTGTGAAGTACCAAAGACTTGTGTGCTTGTAGGAGCAATCTGAGCATCTTCATGAATGTCTTGGGCCCAGTTGTTTTCAAGTCCCATATTAATGTCAAACTTTAGGTTTTTCTAGCATCACCAGTGGATCTGAAAACATTTCAGTGACCAAGATGGTTGTCTCGTTAAGAATGAATTTTTGCTGAGTTATTAGGCTACTTGCCTAAGCAGTAGAGAGGCTGGTTTAACAGAAGAGAGGAGCTAACTGATGAAGATTTAATTTCACTAAGTGCTGCTGATGAGTTTATTATTGGAGAAGTAACCTTGTGCTAGAACTCCTTTTGTCCTCTTTTGGACTTGAGTTTATTTAGGGTGACATGTCAAAGGTCATTCATTAAGGAATTAAAACCTCGTGTCTGAGGGTTTTGTTTTAGCTTTGCCTGAACACCAACATGTGTCAGCTGTAAAATAAAAAGGGTTTTTATCTTCTTTGTTGTCAATGTTGTTTTTATTTCTAAATATTTTTGTTAAAATTCTCCCAAAGAACTTGTTTTGCATTAAGCTTTGTGCTTTTTGATATATTTTTAGGGATGTTCGGTAATGTGTGCCATCAGCTCAACATGGTCATCATTATGCAAGTATAGTGTCACATCTGACGGATTTTTAAGTATTTGGGTTTTGTTCTTAATTTCCAGCTCCCGTCAAAGAAGAGAAGCAGACTGAGAAGGAGCCAGAGCAGACTCCTGAGAAATCCTCCATTGCATCTGAGTCACCAAGCAAAAGACAGAAGAAGTCTTCACCAAACAAAGATGCAAAGAGTTCTAAGAGCAAGAAGTCCAATCGTGCTGCAAGCTCAAAGGCCTCCAAGAAACCTACTGCAGCTCAGACTAAACCTGCAGAGAAGTCCAAGAAGCCTCCTCCAGCACCTGTCCCACCACTGTGTCCATTCCCTCCTGGTCCCATTCATGCCACAGGGGCCCTCAGAGTCACCAAGTCCAACTTCACCATTCCTAAGAAGCAGCCTCAACAAAAAGAATCCAGTTCTGAGACTCCTTCCAACTCCTCCCCAAGAGCCCCGTCACCTCATGTGTCTTCGGGTTCCTCCAGCCGTTCTTCATACAGATCTTCACATCCACCTGCTTCATCACCTCAGTCGCGGCCCCCACCCAACCACCAGATGAGACAGAACATCCGCCGCTCGTTAACAGACATCCTCTTTAAAAGGTTGGTCTTTTCTCTTCCAATGCCCAGAGCACAACATTTCTGTTGCCATTAGCAGGTTTGTGTAATAAGATTTCCCTCCAACAGGGTGAGTGACAGCGATGACTTGAAAATGACAGAGAGTGAAGTGGCAAGACTTGCGTTTGCTATTGAGAAGGAGATGTTAAACCTATGCTTGAGCACAGACAGCAAGTACAAGAACAAATACAGGAGTCTGATGTTGCATCTTAAGGATCCTAAAAACAAGGTTAGTTGGCATGAAGCTGCACACTGACAATGCTTAAAATGTTCGGCAGCTTTGGTTTGGTCTCATTTTGAGATGTTTGTTGCAGGGCTTGTTCTACAGGGTGATTGATGGAGACATCACCCCCTTCAGATTGGTGAGACTAAGTGCTGAAGAGCTGCTTTCCAAAGAGATCTCTGGGTGGAGGATGTCTGACTCATCAGAGGTAAATGTTTCTTCCTTTTCAACAAATAACAGGAGGTTTAATGGTATATGACGCATTAAGCACGTGAATGATTGTCATCTACAGGGTCGTTCCTCCAGTTCCAGGTCTCATTCTGGCCAGTCGAGGCTCAGAGGCAGACACGAGTCCCACAGCGCAGAAATGGAGGACGCTCCACCAACATCTGATGCAGATGTATGTATCTCTACTGCTGCTTCGTCTTCTCGCTTGGGTTCTGCTTCTGTAAGTGGGGGCAAGCTTCTCCTCTTTCATGCCTTTTCCCCCATCTTGCATGAAGCTTGTGCATGGTCGGTGTTATTTATCTAGTTGCCTTTACTTGTGCAATTTCTTCCTTAAGCTCAATCTTGCTTGTAGAAAATGCAGATGAGTTAATCGTTCTACGTGTTCTAGTTGTGTAAGCCATCGTCTTGGGTTTCAATTTGTTGGATGGTTGACTTGAATTCTTTTTAATATCAGGACCAAGATGAGTCTGGCTCCACCCCCTTAGCTTCAGCTCAGTCCTCTGCAGCTGAAGGAAGCAGCGGCATGGTGGATATTTTCAGCAGCATGCTCAAAGACACGACCTCTGAACACAGGACCCATCTGTTTGACCTCAATTGTAAAATATGTACAGGTAACATAACAGAAATGCCTCTGCTACCGGATTTAAGGCAACTTTATTTGTGGGTTAATGTTTTAACGTTACCTTTGTAGGACAAAAGGCAGAAGATGAACCTGCAGCCAAAAAGGCCAGACTCATGAAGAAGCCTGACTCCAAGGCACCCAGACAAGAGTCTGTTTCCACCAGGTCAGGAGATGTGTCTCCTGTAAGCCACCCTCTCCAAGAGCCTTTATCATACCAGCATCCCGTCCCATCATCCCAGCAGTCCAATGTGGAGCAAGCTGTTACAGAATCTCAGCCACAGCTCTATCAGGAGGAGCCCAGTGTCATGGTGCCCCCAGCTCCGACTCCTGTACTCATCACCCCAGCGGTGGCCTCTGTCAGCATTAGCCGCAGAGATCCGCGCATGGCTCGGCTCACATCTGGGGCCAACGTTGCCCCGGTAGCATTGGAGAAACCCGCAATCCCTGCAGTAGCAGAGATGGTGTCAGCTCCTGTCACCGCTCCAGTGGAGGTTGGAGCTAAAGTAATACTGCCCATGCCCCCGGTTCCACCGTCAGCAGTAGTGGTGTCTAAATCTTCAAAAAAAAGGTGCTTAGATTGATCAAGAATGGCATTTGCTTATTTTGTGTTTTAGTGCATTATCTGAATATTTAATATCAAATATGATGCTGATGAAAAAGCTGTACATAACTATGCCTAAAAGAAATGTGTTGGTTTTCTAGCTCGCTCGAGCCTCCTCCTGAGGGGGAAACTGCCATTTTCCTCCACGGTCTGGATATGATCTGGAAAGGATTTGTCAACATGCAGTCTGTAGCTAAGTTTGTGACCAAGGCCTACCTGGTGTCTGGATCTTTTGAACATCTTAAAGAGGTAACTCACACAAGCAGGGATGCTTTTTTTTCTTTTCTTTTTCATTTTTTAAATGCAAGTTTCCAGGTTCACAGTTAATAATCAATCTGTTGACGGTTATTTTCTCAGGATCTGCCAGACACCATTCATGTTGGAGGCCGGATATCTCCCAACACTGTATGGGATTATGTTGGAAAGCTGAAAACTTCCCTCTCCAAGGTTTGTGGAGAAGAGATGGAGTTTTTACTTAGAAATGTTTTTAGTGTCTTAAGTGTTTTCATTTGTTCAAATTCACAGGAGCTGTGTCTTATCCGGTTCCAACCAGCCACAGAGGAAGAGGAGGTGGCTTATGTCTCCCTCTTCTCCTACTTCAGCAGCAGAAAGAAGTTTGGTGTGGTTGCCAACAACAACCGACGAATCAAAGACCTCTATCTCATCCCACTCGGCTCTAAGGACCCTCTACCCGCCAAACTGTTACCGTTTGATGGACCAGGTAAGCGTTCAGAAAGAAAACGTGGACTAGTGGTTTCTAGAACGTCACCTATTGTTTGTAAGTTATATTATGTCCAATTGTTGTTGTCTCTGTACGTGTGGTGATTATCTTTTATTGTACTTCTGCCTCAGATTTGAATGAGTGCATTTATGTGGATTTGCCTGTAGGGGGTGCTCACACTTCTTGTTGAGTCTCCCAACCTGCATGTAATAACTTCTGTTTTTACTGTGATTCTGACTTTGTATCACACATTTCAAATAGACATTTGCATCACAGGCGGATGCCTTTTCAGGCCAGTTTCACTTTATTTCTGAAGACTGCTCTGTTTCAAAATTTAAGGTAACTGAGCCTGGTAGAAATGTATTAACATTTCTACCAGGCTCAGTCACTTTCTGTTATGTCATTTATATGCTAAAAAAAAACCTGCTCCTATGGTAAACTTAATCCGTGGTGAGAATCGAGTCTTACATTTGTCAGAGTCCCAAATCAGAGTGAAGCTTGTAGATATGTTTTAGAGTATTTAGCATAACAAATTAAATTGAGTCTTCTGTATGAATGTAATAATTTGTGTCACATAATTAAACTTATTTGATTTCTGTGAACAGCTTTATAATATATTAAAGTTCCAATTTTAAGAGTTTGTTTGGCTAGAAAATAAACAGTTTGGTTTTATAAACGTAATGATGCCATATATAGTAAAGATAATCAATTCCATCTTAAGTTTGCAAATAACTAGTTATGTAGTTTGACATAAGCTGAGTTATATTGTTTTATTAGAAAGAAAAATTGTAATCCTTTGCAAGTTCTTTGACCGCTGCTGTTGTTTGTATCACAGGCCTTGAACCGGCTCGCCCTAACCTACTTTTGGGGCTGTTGATCTGCCAGAAGGACAGAAAGCGCTCTGGAGCATCGCTCGATGCTGAGGAAAAACGGTCCAAGATCCAAACCAAAGAAGCAGATGAAACCGGGCTTCCAAAGACGACTCATTCAGTCAAAGTAGACAAGAGCTCCAAGCAGAGTCTTGAAATCTCCTTCAGCACAACTCCCCCAGGATCACCTCCGTCTAGCATCTCTGAAGCTCCCAGCAGCACCGCAGCTGCCTCAGTCCTCTCATTGCTGTCATCCGTTAAAGCCGTTGCCGCGTCCGCTACCTCTGGTAAAGAGTCACCATCTGCATCTAGCTCCAACACCGCCACTCCTCTTCAAACCATTCTAAACTCTCTGTTCAAGAGCAAACATGACTCGGAGGCTTCTAACTCTCCTTCTGACCAGTTTGGGGACATCCCTGCAGCCGCTTCTTTGCTAGACCCCATCTTGCGTCAGTTTGCCCAGAATCCTCAGGAGAAACCAGTAGAAGAAGACGAGGACGACCGACCATATGATCCAGAAGAGGAGTATGATCCCAGCAGAGGGTATAATGTATTGACAAAACCAGTTGACACACTAGTCAAACCGGAGGTGCCCAAGCAGCCTGAGGTGGTAGACAATGAAACTGATGATGTGGCGTATGACCCAGAGGATGACTCTATTTTTGAAGAGGTCAAAACTTTGGTACCAGCTCAAGTTAAGCCTGCAACTGAAAGTGTTTCAGATCCAAAAAAGATTCTGGAGAACCTTAAAAGGATTGGAGAGCAGATGCTGCAGAAACAAGCGGAAAAGCAATCATCCACAGGGACGGCTGTTGCCTCTTTGACCACAGACACTCTTGTAACCCAGCCTGCGACATCCCTCTTGGGCAACAGCCAGCTACTTCTGTTAGGCAAAAAGGTCGAAGAATTTGTAAAGTCATCAACTGTCCCTCCGATCAACCAGAGGAGAGATCCAAGACAAGGCAGGGATCCAGGCCAGGCCACTGGCGGAAACAACCTGTCTGATGAATCTGAGGAGAAACAGGAGTCGCCTCTTTTGATTGATTCTGTTCCTCCTTCACAGTCTGTGGAGCAGGTGTCAGAACAGCCTAATACAACAGAACTCCCAGAGTCCTCCACAGTCCCAGAAGCTTCACCTCCAGAAGATGAAGACAAAATTGAGAAACAGTTATTCACAGAGTTGGAAAAGAAAGAAGTGTCGATTCCTCTATTGGGCGAAGACCCTGATATGGAGGAAGACATTGAAGTAAAAGCCGAAGAAGAAGAAGAAGAAGAAAAACCAGTTAAGGAGGAAACAAAGTTTGACAAGTACAATGTTTGGCCAAATGCGGCTAGTGTTTTAAAAGCTGGTGACGACTCAGAGTATGAAGAAAACAGCCAAGATATACCATCAAGAGATTATTACAGAGAGTCTGAAGAGACATCAATGACCTCCACCATCCCAGTCCTCACTCAGAGCTCGACAGCTGACATTCACTCACGTCACATGTCCCAACACATGTCAACACCAAGCTTTGATAGTAATTACAGGTCTCGGGCTGACATTCCCTTGCGGTCCACCTTCCCCACCCCCAATTCAATTCAGGGACCAAACCTGATGATGAGGCCTCCATCTGTATCCATGCTACCACCCTTACAGGGTCCTCCAATGTCAGGACCCCCTTCTATGCATGCCCCTCACCCTGTTCGTGCCCCCCCTCCTCTCCAAGGTGACAGCAGTATTCAATATGGCCCACCTCAGTCCTCATACCCTCCGTACCAGAACCAGAACCAATGGCCGAGCACCCAGCCACCACAGCCGCAACAGCCACTTCCTGGATTACCACCACAGAATATGATGCCTCCTAGAGGACCACTTCCATTTCCTCCAGTTGCTCAGAGAGCCCCTCCATCACAGATTTTTGATCCCTCCATCCCCCCTCAGCACATTGGACAGCAAGGCCCCCCTCCAGGCCTGCCGCTACCTCGTTTTGATGGGCAGAACAACTTAGCTCCACCAAGATTCACAACTTCCGTTCCTCCTCCTTTCAGTTTCCCTACTAACAGAGCTCCTCCACCTTTCACAACACCACCACCTGGTCACTTTGATAACAGACTTCCTCTGGCAGGCATCTTCCCAGGGCCCAGGGGTCCCCCACCAGCCCAGTATGGTGAGCAACAGTATAACAAAGACTCTCCTAGTAACTCCTTTAATCCACATATAGACCAGAATCCAAACACACATCTTCTTTTTAAAGACAACCAGAGATCTCTGCCAGCTCCAACTTACCGACCACATCCACCTAACCAGTACGAGGACAGAAGAGGTCCACCTCCCAGTGCCGAGATGAGTGGGCAGCACTTCAAACCACATAACCAGTATGAGAGTGCCAGGCCACTATCTTCACCAGTACAGAGAGGTTCTTTTGATAATATGCGAGGTCCCCCGGCTCAGGACAGATCCCACCCATCTCCACTTGCAGAGAGGTACCGCTTTGATTGGCAATCAGATGAGCCTAGACCGATTCGCCACAGTTTACCAATACTGCCAAGTCACCCAGATGGACCTCACGGTCCAGGCCTCCATGGGGCCCACAGCCCAGACCTGCATAGGGAAGACCACTGGCGTCACCATTCCCCTGAGATGAGACGGAGGAGCAACACCATTCTCGATGATGTAGAACCTCGCATTGTAGAGCGTTTGAGCCTATTTGAAGGATTACACAGAGAACTTGCTCCTAGCTCCTTGAGATCTTCTGAGGAGAGACAAAGAGAGCTTTCTGAGGACCGAAGGGAAGACAGAGAGAAGGAAGGTCCCCATGGAGGCAGGGCATCTTGGGAGAGGGGACAGGGAAAACACTGGAGCAGAGAGCGTGAGTGGGATAGAAGCAGAGAAAGAGACTGGGAGCCAGAGCTTGGTCGAGAAAGTGACCACAGCAGAGGGAGGGACAGTGAAAAGAACAAGGAGACGGAAGGAGGACGACATAAAGAGCAAGACTCTGACAAGAGGAGAGACAGAGACCGAGACAGGGAGAGGGACAAAGAGCGAGAGAAGGAAAGGGACAGAGAGAGAGAAAGAGCAAGGGATTCTGAGCGTAAGGACTATGACCGGAGGGAGTCTGAACGGAGGGACTCTGAGCGGAGGGACTCTGAGCGGAAGGAGTCTGAGCGGAGGGACTCTGAGCGGAAGGAGTCTGAGCGGAAGAACTCTGAGCGGAGAGAGTCAGAGCGTAAGGACTATGAGAGGAAGGACTCTGAGCGAAGGGAGTCTGAGCGGAAGGACTCTGAGCGAAGGGAGTCTGAGCGGAAGGAGTCTGAGCGAAGGGAGTCTGAGCGGAAGGAGTCTGAGCGAAGGGAGTCTGAGCGTAAAGACTATGAGAGGAAGGAGTCTGAGCGAAGGGAGTCTGAGCGTAAAGACTATGAGAGGAAGGACTCTGAGCGAAGGGAGTCTGAGCGTAAAGACTATGAGAGGAAGGACTCTGAGCGAAGGGAGTCTGAGAGGCGGGACTACGACCGTGACAGGGCACGGAACCGAGACAAAGAACGAGACCGTGAACGAGATCGAAGACGAGATCGATCCAGAAGCAGAGACCGTGATCGGGATCGTGGGAAAGACAGAGGTCGAGACAGGGACAGGGATCGAGATCGGGACAGGGAGCGAGAGAGAGACAGAGATCGTCGAGATAGGAGCAGAAGCAGAGAGAAGAAAGAGGACAAAAGAGACTATAAACGTGATACAGCCAAGGATAAAACCAGAAGTGCAGAAAACAAAGACACTTCTTAGTCTCCGTTTTATAGACATCAGATTTCTTACCCCTAAATATACCCATTCTAAAAACACTGTACCCATACATCAGCAGTATTTTGCTATCTTTCCCCAACTTCTGTTGTACCATTGTAAAATTGGTGAACTCAAGATAATTTTATTCGTCGTCATTGTAAGATTTCTGTTTTATCGTATGGAAAGAAGTTGCTCCTACAACCTGTACTGTTTTGTTGAAGAATCACAATGTAACTAATGAATCCTCCATTTACAACATGTAAATATGAACATATTTGTGTATATACTGATGTTTTTAACCATACTTTTCTAAGTGGGAGAAAGTTAAAGCCATATATCTGTGCTGAATAATATGGAGACAACACTGTTAGTTTTACTTAATGTTGAGCATCTTTGAACTAAAAGGCATCTGCCCACAGTATACATCCCATAAATAACTTAGATGTCCAGCTTTTGTTTCAACTAATTAAATTTGTTTGAAAGTTTTTCTTGGTGTTTTTTTAATCACTAGTTAATAATTGGCAAGAATGGAGATCAGCTGAGAAGTTCTTCCTGTTACTTTGCTGATCATGTGTATTTAACAGCTTTTGGTCTCAAAGGTCATGCTTGAGTACAGCAAGACGTCTTACCAGCAGTTTAGTAGTGCTGTGAAAACGATTGGTGCCTTTGCTGATGTATTTCTTCAGTTCTTGTTTTTTATTTAGTTTTTGCTTACAAAGATTTTAAAAAAGCATTTTGTAATGTTTTATTTAGATTAAGGCATCCAAACCGTCCCCCCAGTCCTCCTCTTGTGAAACCGCTAATTGATAGATGGTTGTTGAATGTTCTGTGCATTGACTAGACAAAAGTAGACATTCTTGAAAAGTGCATCCATTACATGTGGTGTAAAACTAAAACAGCATTTTAGGGAAAAAAGTTAAACATTGTGGTGGCAGTGTGATGGTCTGGGGCTGCTTTGAACACTGTGTAATTAAAGGAACAATGATGCCACTCTCCAGCACAGTCATGATCAAATATTTCTGACATTAAATTCTGGGGTTAAAAGATGAAGCGAAACAATGTTAATTTATTTTAGTGCAACAGATTTAAATAAACAAAATAACCAGGCAGATCAAAGTCAAATACATCTGTCAGATAAATCTTTAAATGCACTTTGTTTTACAATAGAACAGTCAATAGAGTATTTTGGATTTGGTATGAAATTAAGTTTAATTAAAAGTATGACATTGCAACAACAAAACCAAACAAAGAATAAACAAACCGCTTCATCACAACTCAGGACTAATCTGCATCATATCCTCAATGTTTTCATCCACATCAAAAGATCAGCAAAATTACAGAATAATTACAAACATTTGTTTTTTCTGGAAAAACACTTTTCATTCTCCATGTGCAGGTCAGTAAGGTTCAGTAGAAATTTAACACAGTGTGTTACAATTAGATTTTGCATAACCCTCAATTTAATTCACAGTGCACGTTTCTGGCTACATCCTCGTGAGAAGCAGCAGATCTAAGGGCTCTTCTCCCTACCATTTTGTATTTTCATCTGCTGTAACCAGAACATCTGGATTTTCTTTGGGCACCACACAAACTCCTCTTTAGGTTCGTAATTTTCATAGGCAAACTTCAGGAGATTTCTGCGTTTCTTTTTATCAAGGACAGCAAACACAAAGTAATTAAGGACACTTTCTTTGATATTTGGAAGTTGTCCGTTAACAAGAGTTTCTACCAGGAAGAATTTCACCAGAGGAGCCTGGTAGTCACGGTAACCCAGCGTTCCCAGGCACTTCAAGATCCGGGTTATGCGCAAGCTGTTGTGTGTGTGCCTGGAAAAAAAGAACAATTAAAGAGATGTGCTTTTTTTCTAAAATATGTATATTCTTAAACTGTGGAGATACACACCTGTTGAAGTTATCAAATCTCTCCATCCAGTTCTCTGTTTTCCTCACATCTCCTGTTATCTCGTTGATCAACTCAATACCATAGAAATCCAACATGAGCTTGTATGACTTCAGCAGGTTTTTCTTTGCAAAGCTGTTGTTAAGAAAATCCTGCAGAAGAATTCAGACAGTGATCATTTGTGAGGCTCGGATTACTTCAAATATTATGTTTTGTTATTATCCAGATTACCGTAATTTCCTGTTTCGTTAGGATGCTGGCCTCAGAGTTCACCCCTGGTTCTTGTAAAGGAAACAACCTTTCAAAGAAAAATTAATAAAAATCAAAAATGATGCCAGTGGCTTTACATCTGTAGTCAGAGTTACTTACCACTGAATATAGGTGTGCACATACTCCAGTTTGTTATAGTCCCCATGCCATTCTTTATGGATATCAGATATGTGGAGACCTTAAAAAATACAAGTTACATCTCGTTAATATTTGAATTAATCTGTTCAAATTCATTAACTTAAAATTTGATTGAAGATATGTCACAGATGGTAATTTTACACAATATTTTTTTACATGTTGACCCAACTTTTCATAACTAAGTATCATTTTAAGATTTTAGTCTGGAAACATGTTTTCATTGTTATAAAATAAAAACAGCATAAAACCACAAGCTGCACAAAGAGATGGAAGGGGTGTCTCTTAACCCTTCCACTGTCTTATCAGGTGACCGCTCCAGGACAGGGGTCCCAGTCACACAGATATCGGTGTATAGGCCTACCATCCGGTAAACAGGGGTCCTGTCCGAGATAGAACATCAAATTGGGCCTGGCTTCCTGTTTGAATGAGGATAATTTCTGACACATTTGTCATTTAAAATCAGTCACATTAGAAACAGACTGAGAGGGTACTCACAGGTTTGCTTAAGTGTTGATCCCTGGGTTGGTTCTGTGGGAAACATTACACATCTGTTTAATCAGGTGTGTGTGGAAAAAATGGTGGTGTGTGCATGTGTGTTTACTTTGTATTTCATTTTGTGGACATTTTTTTCCAGGTTTAACCTGGAATGTGGGGATCTCTGGAAATTGTGGGGACATTTGGCTGGACCCCACAAGAAAAAAACCCACAGTATTGTTTTTGAGGTCTGATGTGAATGCACTTTTAGTTAGTGTCAAGGTTAGGAGTAGACCAGTATTGATCAGGCATAAATAAGTCACACGGGTCTCCACAAGTGTAGCAGTGTGTGATAAACTCACCGGGTAGTCGTGCCTGTAGGTCTGCATGTCTTTTGCGGCATTCTGAAACCTGCGGAACTTCTGCAGAAGAAAGATTTATATGAGGCAGGCAAAAACTGGAAGTGAGGCCTAAAGTAAAAATTTTCATGACAAAATGTAGTGTTGAGGCGAGTGAGTGGTTTTAAATGTTCCTCACATATCTGTTGCTGCGTGGTAATGATGACATTTCTATGCTTCTGTTCTGACTCGGTTCGTCCTCCCACGTTGAATCATAGCTACAGTAAAACTCATCAGTGGGGTCTACGAGCGTCTCAGACGTCTCAACATCCCTTTCTCCCGGGTCTGCAGCCCTTCCGTCATTCCTCCACCAGAGCAACGAACGGACACCGATTTCGAGCCTTTTCCGGAAGAACAACGGAACAAATTGCCAAAACCAGCAGAGTATATTGTAACACCCGCCGCCACCTCTTCGGTAACACCAGAGAAAAACGCCCGTAATAAACGGTGACATATTGAGTGAATAAAAACGATGCATCTTCTCATCACCGGCGGCGGACTGAGGTTTACTTTCATTTCACCCAAGTTTTCAGAACTGAAAACGAAACTTCTTTGAAAGGTAACGCCCAGGGGCCTCATTTATCAAGCTTGCTTACACACAAAACGGGTCGGAATTTTCCACGCAAACTTTGGGATTTATGAAAGAAAACTTAGCGGAATAATGTGCGCAACTTTAAGTTGACTAAGGACCTGGTTTACGATAAGGAAGAGCACCTGCAGTGCTGCTGCTGAGAAGGATAAAATTATGAAATCCTGCAGCATTATCACTTGTACTCAGGGCCAGATTAACACTTTGTTGTACCCTGGGCAACAATATTCAAGGGCCCCATCACCACGACCCAAGGATCACCATAATATGGCCACATACATAATATTTTACTGTAGTAAATATACTCAATACTTGAATGCCTGACATCATGTAACCCGCTCAGGGTAACCTTTGACCCACCTTGTGTGGACTGACCAATGAGGAGAGGGTCTTAACTTGAGGCCCTCTCTTCATTGAACCGCACTCAAATGACGTTCAGAGTCATAGGCAGCAAAGCATCTCGGTGCAGCGCAAAAGCCTGGGTGGACAGTTTGTTTGGTGACCATATTTCCATTTCCAAAAAAGAGGACAGGGGATCCGTGCCTATGACGTCACACTATGGCAACGCCACACAAACCACGTTGGGACCCATTTTTTGTAAGAACTAAATTAATATCAGATTCTGCCAATAAAAAGGCTCTAAAACAATTCATATGTGAATATTTAGCATATTTATTGCAAAATCGCATTTTTCTGCTTTAGTGCTGCAACAAGGTTTTATTAATAATAAATTATTATACCTTTTGTTTTACTACAGCATCGGTACGCTTCCTGTGCACGATTATTAAGGATGCTTGTGCCAGCTGTGAGATTAGACGATAGGATCAATGAAAGAATAAGTTGTCACACACTCCATGGAAACTTTCAGAGAATCCACAAATAGTGGCTTTCAAATGGTTTTGTTACTTTTTGCAAGTTTAGAAAAGAAGCAGATGAGACAGCAAGTCTGATAATTTAGTTTTTCATCTGATAATATTAGAACATGTCAGTCATGTCTGAGGGGCTTTTACAAACACTGTATAACTAACACTCCTGGAGAGGGTATGAATTACACAGAGACTTCTGGGGAGGGGGGTGGGGGGTCATCTTATCTTGGCCCCCAAAATGTTTTGAAACGGCCCTGGGTGTGTGACTGAGTTTTGAAGGTGATCTGAATTGTATCAGATGTATAAATGTTACATGTGTATAACTTATTGTTTTATACAGGTAAAAACATGTAGTGGAGATAAATCTATACCTACATTTTACTTTGTTTTCTTGTTTTTATTGAACTGTTTTCCTGTCCTGTCTGTCTCTCATCTTCCTGCATCTCCTCTAAATTCTCCAGAAAAACTGCTGCCTGGATTCTTACTTTTTCACCTCACCAGTTACTTCTGATCAAAGAGATCTCCTGACCGCAAAGCGCAGAGCGCGTTTCGATGCTGCGTCAGTGAGGTGAAATCACCGCAGCACAGGTGATGAGCTCTGCAGTAGCAGGCACAAATAAGACAGAAAGTAGAGAACATGTGCGGACATGAACAATCGTGTGTTAATTATAGTTCTTTGGTTGCGCCACTTTGAGAATGGACCGTGCGCTGGAAGCAGCAGTCTGGATCGCTGCACACCAACGATCATCGCTATATGTGCTCTCTGCTCAAAAGGGTCCATAAATGATGTAATATAGGTAGAAAACGTTTTATCCGGCTCCCCTGGATGTGTAGGATATACAGCTCCCCCATAATACGATCCCTGCTCCTGAATGAAAAGCTGGACATTTTCATCAATGCAAGAACCCCGCGGACAGAGAGTGAAAAGCGGACATGTCCAGGGAAAAGAGGATGTATGGTCACCCTAGTTTAATATAAAGCGGGAGATTACAGATACAGTATTTTGCTTGTGCCCTTGCTGCCCGGGGCCTGGGCCCTTTAAAGTTTGTGGGCCCTGGGCAATTGCCCAGTTGCCCGTATGGTTAATCGGGCCTTGCTTGTACTGCTTCGTTTTCACACAGAACAAGACCCCCACACGCACACACACATGCGCGCACACACACATGCTCGCGCGCACACACACGCACGCGCACGCACGCACACACACACACTCACACACACACACACACACTATCTCAGCTGTCTCTCACACTCAGCATGGACTGGATTTGGATAACAACATCAGCGTGGAGTGGGATCACTCAGCAATGCTGCTCAGGCTCAGTGTGGTGCTTCGGCAGAGCAGGGTGTGAACACGCTCCTCATAAAGGCTTCACAGGGTGAAACTATTCTGAGAGCAAGAGTCCAGAAAGAGCAGCTGCTCCAGCTGTTGTTCTGTGAGGCAGTCACGGACCAATTAGAAGCAGAAGCTCTGATGTTTGTGCTTTCAAGACCTCAGATCACAAAATCACAAAAACATGCTAAGTGAAAATAGCTGTGGTTGTATGCCAGTGTTTTAACTTTACTGTTTTATCCATCCATCCATCCGTCTGTCCGTCCGTCCATCCATCCATCCATCCATCTCCAAAATATTAGCTTTATGACCACAGAATGTCTTAATAAGACAGAAGCCACAGTGTTGATTTGCCTGAAACCTCCTAAGATGCCCTCAAACAGGCCTTTTGTCTGTTCTCACTACCATATCATGCCATACCATGTTTATTTATATAGCACATTTAAAAACAGCATGACAGCTGACCAAAGTGCTGTACAGAAAAACAGACAATCCCCAAGATAAAAACAGATAAAAGTCATATAGGAGGTAAGAGGTAAAATCTAAAAAATTGTAAAAGAAACATACAACAATAAAATACAGAGCACAATAAAATGTAAAAACACTGAAAACTAGATCACTGAATAAAAGCTAAATGATAGAAGAAGGCCTTCAGTGCCAACTTAAATCGACCCAGTTCTGGGGCCTGTCGAACACTAAAGGGGAGAGCATTCCAGAGTTTAGGAGCAGTGAACGCAAAGGCCCGCTCTCCACGTGATTTATACCTCATTTTCGGGATGCACAAAAGCAAATGATCTGCAGATCTCAGGTTTCTGGTTGGAGCATAAGGCTTTATCAGTTCTGAAAGATAAGCTGGAGCTTGACCATTCAGAATGTTATAGACAAAGGTCAAAACCTTAAATTGGATGCAGTATTTAACAGGCAGCCAGTGCAAGCGTGCAAGGACGGGTGAAATGTGACAGCATCTCGAGGTGTTTGTCAGGAACCTAGCTGGCGCATTTTGCACTCTCTGTAGACGCTCGATTGCTGAGACGCTGACACCAACAAGTAGTGAGTTGGCATAGTCTAAACGTGTAGTTACAAAGGTATGAACAACAGACTCCAGCTGAGGTCATTTGACTATTGACTTTAAGCGCGAGATGCGACGTAGTTGGAAAAAGCAGGACCGGACTGTAGAGTTAATTTGTGAACTCATTAACAGATCAGAGTCAAGTTTCACTCCCAGACTGGATACACAGGATTTAAGATTTAAATACGGTAGAGGGTAGTCACCAGGTGCATGCTTTGGATTTATTGGATTAAAAAGAATGGCGTCGGTCTTGTTTTCGTTAAGGCAAACGAAGTTCTCTGACAGCCAGCCTTTAACTGCAGTAATACAGTCGACAAGGAGGTGTGCTGAGTCAGGTTTACTTAAAGCCAGATAAATCTGGAAATCATCCGCGTAAAGGTGATAACTTATTCCAAGGCTAGTCAGAATCATACCCAATTGCAATAAGTAAATCGAGAATAGGAGTGGCCCTAGAATCGAACCCTGAGGCACACCCCAGCGAAGTGGAGTAGATGGAGAGGAAACACAGTCAATGTGAACACTAAATTGTCTATCTGACAAATATGATCTGAACCAATGAAGTGGGATCCCTGTTACCCCGAACCTCATCTCCAACCTCCTAAGTAGGATGTCATGGTCCACTGTGTCGAAGGCAGCAGAGAGGTCCAGGTGTAACAGAAGGACATGGGAACCAGAATCAGTTGCCACCAGGATATCATTTAATACACGAAGATGTGCAGTTTCTGTGCTGTGGTGAGGTCTAAAGCCAGACTGAAAGTGATCGAGGAGGCTATGATCTCCTAAGTAACTGGAAAGTTGAGTGTGAACTACTTTCTCAATAATCTTGGATAAAAACGAGAGTTTGGAAATCGGACGATAATTAGAAAAATCAGTATGATCCAGGCCAGGTTTTTTCAGTAAAGGATCTACAACTGCATTCTTAAAGGTGATTGGAAACACTCCAGTCAAGATGCTGTTGTTGACGATTTCCAGAATAAATGGCGACAGCACAGGAAAAGCCCCAACTAGTAGTTTTGGTGGGAGGGGGTCCTCTGGAGAACCAGAGGGTTTCATGGACCTGACCAGCTCCTCCAGATCATGAAGAGACAACAGTGTAAAATTCGAAAATTGACTTGGACAGACTGGTTCCTCAGGGGTGGGCTGACCCAATAGCAAGATGCTTGACCTAATATTCTGAATTTTAAGCTGAAAAGAGTTCATAAAATCGATGCAAAGGGACGTCGTTGGTACTGAGGGTGTAGTTGCATCTTTTAAAGAGAGAACCAAATTTAATGGTACTAAATAGTTTACGTTGATCACCAAGATGTGTTGTGATTATATTACTAAAAATTTATTTCTGGCTGTTCTCACCGCTTTCTGATACAAAAATAGAGAATCTTTCAACATTCGGCCTCACTGGTGCATCCTGGCCTGTAAGGATGGAGAGGGGCATAACAGGCTCTACTCTGAGCTCCTTCTGGATCATGGAGCTCCTCATTTTCTAAGACTGAGCTCTGTCACCATGCAGAGGAACCCCAATCCAACTGCTTGTATCCAGAGCAGCTCTTTGTTTGGTTTGTCCTCCAGATCTTATGATCTAGGCAAAGTTTGAATCAAAAGATATAGGAAGCTTTGTCTTTCGGCTGAACTTCCACACAATAGCAAACCGGAACAACGCCATCATTACCAAAGACAAAACACCAATCTATCAG